AAGGAGCCCCGGTCAGCTAGTGGGCTAAGCTTTGGGCTGCTAGCCCCACACCATCTGCTTCCCCAGGAGAAGGAAGCAGTTTGCTTTTCAAAAGATAGGCAGGCGCAGAAACTGTATGGGGCAGTTCCACTCTGTCCTATTGGGGCAGATTGAGTCAAAATCCACTTGAGAGTAAGGCAGCCATATTCATACTTCATATAAGACAAGAATGTCTACTTATTCATTACTGGCATAATTCAGATACTCATTTCAGTGGGGCCAGTTCCATAACAAAGACTTTTCCCCAACATAACATTTTTTTAAAAACTGTCTATGCTGAGTGTAACTGCCAACTCCATGTTCACGGTCCACCATTTTGAATCATTAAGGAGCCCTGAGAGCACAGGGTGAAGGACTGGCCTTGTAAGGGCAAGGTTACCTGTTTGAACCCCTGAGTTGATCCACAGGGAAAAGGCTAGTGTATGTTTCCATAAAGATGTAACGCCTTGGACACCTCTGGTGCAGTTCTACAGGGTTGCTGGGAGTCAGAAGAAACGAAGTCGTGGGTTTGGGGTTTACTGTCTAACCACAAGGAGCTTTGAGAACCTAATGGTTGGTGCTTGTCTACCAACAAGGGGAGGTTTGAGCCCACCAGTAACTGCTCAGGAGAAAAGCTTGGTGGTCTCCTCCAGCAGATTGCAGCCTAGGAAACCCCGTGGGACAGACTACTTTGCCACTTGCTTATGTCAGAATTACTTTCACGGAACACAGCAGCAACATGAGATGGGCATGTTTTGTGTTAGGCACTGTGAACAAAGCAATCCCTGCCTTCAAGGTATGTTTTTGATGGGCAGGCATACAAGAAACAAGGAAAATCTGAGAACAATCATTACTGTGGAGAAAATATGGTCGAGAAGAATAAACGGTGTATTTAGGTGATGCAGAAATTTAAGTAGAGTGGTCATCGGGGATCTTATTTCAAAATCGTCATTTGTGCACAGTCTTGAAAGAAGGGAATGCTGGAGGGAGATCATTTCAAGCAGCCAGTCTGTCACTGCAAACATCCAGAGATGGGAGCATATGAGACATAAAGAGTCCATGAGGCTGGACATTAGTTGTATAGCACAGAGTTAAAGGAAACAAGGGACCAGGTTGGCGAGGTGTATGTGCTTTTGTCTCTAGCCTGTGAATAGTCTCATGAGTGGTTTGCGGCTTGATCAGCAGTGAATAGCCATCTTTCTGAGAGGAAGAAAGTGGCCGGTGAAGCAAAGCAGAATAGCTTCAGCGTCAAAGCAGCAGAGCCTCGATGAACTATGCCTGAGCAGTCAGCCCCGTGACTAGTTTTGTTTTATAATGTCATTGTCTTCCATTGTTTAGCTATCTTTGGGTTGAGTTTTATGTAACCTGCTTCGAGTCATTATTAAGCACTGTCCATATGAAAGAGAAAACATAAATATAAAACAATTTACTCCTAAATTCTTTAACTATTTCTAAGCATTTAGTCCTTTTATTGGTTCATGCATTCTTTCACTAATTCTACAGCTGTTTTAACTGGAGAAAGACTGACCCTGACCAACAGTAGAAATAATTGAAATTATCTTTCCCAAACATAATTAAGGAACAGAATTTTGTTCTTCAATGTCTTTAAAAAAAAAGTAGGGGGAGCAAAAATATTAAACAAATCAAGCCTATTGTGAGTTTATAGCATCTTTTCATCTTTCATAGTCCCAAGAATAGCTGACTTCCTCAAGTGCTGTTGAGTTTCAACACAGGGTTTTATGGTAATGTGTAGGTCTATGCCCACATGCTCCCTCCAGTTTCTCCGATATAATGTGATCACATGCGAAGCTTGTCCTTATTTGCTCATTGACTTAGCAGGTGTTTCATCAATGAATAGTTGTTGCATCAATGAACAAATGTCTAAATGAAGCATGATAGAGTGTACAAGTAAAGGTCTTTAATTTATTCACGTTTTATTATTTTTGTTATTCATGCTTTAATGTAGTTGGGCGGCCCTACTTTTGGCTATTACATTGTGGGCTAAGCAATACAGTTTATTGTTTAATTGTGCATACTTGAAACATGTTGGATCACCTAACAATAGTTATATGATCACCCAGCTAAAAATATTAGTTTCAAAATATATGCTAACCTTAAGTATAGGCGTGTTAGTTGAAGCAGTTTATTATTTTTATTTTCTCCAGTGCAGCTCAAGCAAAATGCCAAAAGACTACTATAAAAAACCCATTTTAAAAAGAGATTAACAATTTTTCAAATGTTAAAAATCTCTCCAAAAGATTTCTCTTTCATATGGAGGAATGAACAAAGGAGATTAACAGGGTTGGGAGGCAAAACAATAAAAAATCTGACTTAAAACGCAATGTAATTCTGAAATTATGGTGATGATTGCACACATTTTCTTAATTATGATTGAATGATTAAATTCTTCATGTATACTATATGCCATAACTATTTTTTTAAGCAATGTGATATGACCTTAAGTGACTGTTCAACTTATAAAGAAGAGTGTGCTGGGAAGGCAAGTTGTCTCTGAGTCAAATTGTTGCTGTTCTTTAATATTAGAATTGCTCATTTCAGGTCCCATAGTTTAAAGATATACATTCTTGTAATGAATTTCAAATTCTAATTTATTATTCTTGTGTTTTTTTTAAAGTGATCTTTTGAAGTTTAAGCAATATTTTAAGATGTCCCCCAAAATAATCAGCGTTTTAAATAAGTTGAGAAAACAAGATAGGTATTTTTTTAAATACTTATTCTCATTCTTGAGTTGTTTTGTGTATCGCTAAAAAAAGTTTCTGACCCCTGGGGCTTCACCTTCTATACAGGTTGGGTTTGTAAGAGAAGGCAGCCTGCCTAAATCTGCCAGTTGACCGCAGAGGCAACCTGGATTTCCCAATGGTGGCTATTATTTAATGGCCATTTACTATGCATTTTACACCCACCAACTCATTTAATCCTCAACTTAGCCTTGTAAGGCAGATTATCATCACGGTTTTATGATTCAGGCCAGGGTTTTTAAAGGAGCATTCTCATGGTCAAAGAGGTAATAATTTAATGATTGAAGTAACTTTCTCACAGTGACACAGTCAAGAATTCAAGTGCAGGCAGCGTGAATCCTACAAGAAGCCATCATACCTCTGCCCCTCCCCCCTACCCATCCTCCCCATCAATGAACAGGTCAAACGTGGAAAGTTGTCCAGGAGACAAGGCGGTATCTTGTGAGGCTCTGGAGAAGGATGAGCACACATTTTTGAACCTCAGTTTAGAATGGAAAAGCAGGCAAAACTGTTCCATCCCATGTGGTCTGTACCCAACCTACTTCAAAGGACTGCAAAACGCGGGGAGAAGGGCAGTGGATAATCAAGGTTTGGAAGGGGAGGCAAAGTAAGGTTTTTGACTAATGTAGACCCTTGGAAACTTGAACAAGAGTAATACTCATGCCTTTACCACCTCCATTCCTTTCTCATATTTCTGAAGTCTCTGGCATTTAATGCTCCTCTGAAGGGAGAGAAGGGGGGAGAAAATCCACACCCTATAACTGAAATGACCAAGAAAGCCACAGATCACTGAGTTCATCGGGAGCTAAGATTGTATTTTCTGATGTTAGGCAGAACAGCAATCTGAAATACAGACTACATACATTCAGTTATTGAAAACTCAAGTGGCAAGTTTGCACACTTGAATATATGTGCTCCAAACATCATATCCTCACCCACTGTGTGGCTATCATGAATTTGAAAGCAAAGAAACACAGTACCACCAAACATTTATTCCACAATTAGGTATTTCACTGTGATCATAACTCACTGGAAATAAAACCACCTCCATCCTTTTATCATACTTATTCTTTGAATTTCATGCAAGTTTTTAGGAACAAACTACGTGGGAAAAGTGAAGATTGCCCATGTGTTATAAATTTTAGTCCATAAAAATAACAGTATCTTGTATTGTTTGTGGAGTTTACAGAGTCCATATCGCACACATTAACTCCCTAAACCATGACAGTAGCTCCATGAGGTAGTATAATTGAATTTACAGGTGAACTACCTGAGACTTAGAGGCTAAGTAACATGTCCAAGAAAATAACAACCTGGGCCAAAACAGACCGAACCCCAGGCCCTCTGATATACGTGATTCTTATGTATATCACAAATGATAAATAAGTAGACAGACAATAACTTGTTTGCAGGTAACATACTGAAGTAGAGAGAAGAATCCGATCACCACGTTTGTTCCTCCAGTTGGTTCCTTTAAATGGCTTAGGAATTGAGTTTCTATTCGACCTATTGATCTCTACGTAGATGCTGGTGAATTTGGGGGTAAAATTAAAACTGCAAATGGCCCCTCTTCTATTCCATTACTTTCATCCCCCAAATTTCTAATTCTGATGAACTTAAATTGAGATAGAAGAGCAATAGTGAGGCGGGGTACCTTTTCTAGATTCTATTAGGCCTGGCACTTCTAAGACATGCTTTCTTCCTCCAACCCAAGTTGAATATTTGAATCGATGACTTTGATTTAGTGAACAATGAGAGTGATCGATGAAAGTGACTGAATCACTACAATTTTACATGAACTTTTCACAAGAAACAAGATAGTAACTAAAAAACATTTTGAATTTATAAAATTTACGTTGACAGATCATAGGTAGTCCAAATTTTACAGTTCATATTTATTATCATTGAATCCCGGTTATTTGAGAACTGGATCACTGAAATTAAGGTACACATACATTAAAAATGATAGCACATGCTGAATATTAAAGAGTTTCTGATCAAATTACACACATTTAGATTTTGATTCATCAGACATTTTTAATTTCAAAGGAGCAAAATGGAAACTTGTTCTCACAATAAGACCTGGCTGCGTCTAAAGCAAATTCGTAATTTTTGTTTATCTGACAACATCGTGGTGAAATGTTAGGACAGTAAGACATTGTGATTGAATGGAATAAATTTGATCAGCGCACAATGAAAAAAAGAAATCAACACAAGGAAGGATGATGTATTTGAGAACGTTTTTAATAAATAAGGTGACAAAATTACTTTTCTGATTATTGGATTCTCAATATGCAAAATTATGGCTAAAAAGAAGAGGCTTCTTACATGAACATAAAGAAAACATCATCACGTGGATTGTTCCCTTAGTCGTGACACTCTTTCTATGCAACCCTTTCAAATTATCTAAATGAACACATTTAGTTTTTGGTGACTATCAGCTTTTTACTTTACTTTATTGTGGTTCAGTTTTGTTTGGCTTTATTTTCCAATGGGACCAGGCCTGATGCCTGTGTAGGAATAAGTGTAATTTGTTTTTCCTCAAATAGCACCAATTAGAAAGTCAATGAGATTTTTATAATGACAAAAGAAGGTCATGAAAATCGACTGTTAGAGGGCATCATTTGGCAATTGAAAGCAGGGAACGCTTCTGTTTGCGCTTATGAAACAATCATGTAAGTCTGACTTCGGCCACAATAAACTTGAACTTTTTCTTAAGTCCAAGAAAAGTAAGAGCCATTACATTTATGGGCCACAATAAAGGATGCAAGTTACTTCACCATCTGTCATCATTCAAATATTCCAAATACAAACATAGAGCAATAAAAAAACAGGTTAAAAACACTTCTCAACATTTTTTCAATAAGACAAAAAAGGTTAATAGTTACAATGGTTTAAAAATAAAGTTTAGTGATTGTGCTTTTAAAACCAAAAAAAAAAAAAAAAGATTAAAACAGTGCATTACAAAAACAAAAATTAAAGAAACTTCTGTAAGTGGCACTTCTGAAAGTCGAACTGTGACACTACCAGAAGAAATTTGGGCCAGTTAAAATAGGGATGTCCTTATTCCCTGGGTCATGAAAGCATCTGTTTGCTTGCGATAGGCATTTACCGTTGCTTTTTGCTGGAATAGAATGCAGTTTTTGCTAGCCTCATTGTGACAATGACTAGACAGCCAGAGATCGAACTGGCTTCCTCCTATTTACCCAAAAGTACATTCCCAAGAATATACTTCAGTGGCTGAAATGACCACAAAATAAAGTACCACCAGAGGGTGCAGAGAGCATATATTTACAATGTGTTCTACCCCATTCAAATGGCTTTGTGGTTGTTCTGCATTTGCTATATTTTTAAGCATCTCCCAACAAAGGGTGTAGGAAAAATTGATTTTTAAAAAAATGCCCAACTGAAGTGTGTTTTCATTTGCATTAGCTGTTGGTTATAGAAAGATTATACTTTGAAAGCCCTTGGCATGAAGTTGATGGATCAACTTTGTATCTTTGATCACGATGTCGCTGTCAATTGGCTTGGTATATAAGCAGTGCAATGCCATTATCTCCGGGGCCAATGCACAAAAGAACCATTTGGTTCTTCCCGGCTGGCCAATGGTGGAAGCATGGGGTCAGTACACTTCCCCTGCTGGAAATAAGGTGGATGGTTGATTCCAACAGTGAAGGAAGGTCAGGGTGGTTCTTTAGGGACAGAAGCAAACAACAATAAAACCCCAGTGAAATCTTTAAGAACGGTATTCCAGTAAGAGGAATAAAGAGGACAATCTGTACACTCGGATTGCACTGAACATGTGATCTGGCGTCATGTGTCATCAGACAAGAGGCATCTTGAGTGATCATTTTCACATTAGATTTCACGAGCCTCTCTGGTTGTCTTCAGCTTTCAGTCTCCTGTAAGATGAATTATTAACTGTTAAGTCTTAGCATGTTATCTTTTACACTCTTGTCTTCTAACTTAATAAACGTGTTTTCCCATTCATTCACTAGCTTCGGTTGGAAAGAGCTCATGGTAACTAATTAATTAGTCAACCTCATTTGCTTTTGATAGAAAATCCAACCATTCACTAATAAATACCAAACTGTGCTCCCCACAGTGCCTCAGAATTGGGAAATGGGGGCAGGAGAGAGAAGCAGAAGTGTTCTGAGTTCTTTCCCATGTCCCACCCAATTTTATACCTTGATTTTATTAATTTTACATATTTGAATTATCTGTAATAATGTTCCTGTTCCCTAAACTGTTCTTCTTACAAATAAAATGTTAAACCTTCTCTAACATTGTTTGCAGCTAGAAAGCCATCTTATTCCAAATCTAAAAACCAAAACACATTGGGCTTCCAGAGAGAATTCAATTTGACATCACTTATCATTTTTCATCTTCTAGTTGAAAAAGAACTATAATTTACCACTTACTTAAAAATCTACTTGAGAGTAAGTGTATTTGTAAGAAGGCATATTTCTCATCAATTTGTTTTTGTTAAATGTTCGAGAAAGCAGAATCTTCAAAACTCCAGGAGGTGATTATGGAATACAATGTGATTTACCATTGTATCTCTTATCACTGTGCATAGACTCCATCAAGGAAATATACTGTGGACTGAAGAGATGTTCTCTAAGAACACTTGTAGAGAAGTACAGGAGATAGAGTTGGCCAAATCAACTAAATTGACTCTCATGATTACTAGGGTTACAGAAAATAGGGGGGGAGAGCTTCATTTAAATTATATAATTACCTATGTTCTCTTATAATCAATGCCAATACTACACCGGATAATTTAACTAGACCAGTAGCACATCTGAAAATTTGCACTTGAATATGAAGCCTTTTTGCACTTGAATATGAAGCCCAGATGGACAGCAAAAGCTATATATATTTAAAACTTTGGAAAACACTGTAAGATAATCATTAAATCCTTAGCATTTTGTTTCTGGCATTACTGAAAAGCTAATGATAAAATAGTAACATTTCTATAGACTTTGAAGGTGCAAGAAACTATATTCCAATGTGGAAAAACTTAGAGGGGAAAAAAATAATCATTACCTCTAGTTCTTCATTATTATCTTCTCCTCGCTCATATCCTCCAAGAACTTGCATTTCTGCAATATTCCTTCGACCTACATTTCCTTGTTCTCTTTGTCTGTTTCCTGATCCCCTTGATGACATTGAGCTCGAGGAACTGGGATCTCTGGGATTATTGGATGTTGGAAAAGTAGGTCTACAGTAGGGTAGGATATCTTCTGTGGGAAGAAAAGTGAATATACATAAATATTGTACTATACTTTCACTGTATAAGGCATTCCGCCTATCTAAAATTCTGAATGGAGAAGTGCCATCAGTTTTTAGGAGAATAACCTAGGACATTATTTTATAAGCATAATGAAGAATACAGCACTGTCTTTGGAATGAGTCCCTGGGTGGTACACATAGCTGCATGCTTGGTTACTCAGGGGAATGTTGGCAATTTGAATCCGTTCCTGGAAGAAAGAAGGCCTGGTAGCCTACTTTCAAAAAACCATCGCCATTGGAAACCCTTTGAAGACAGGGATACTCGGACACCTGTTTTGGCATGAGTCCGAATCAATGCAACAAGTAGTTTGGATTGTGTTTGATCTTTGGGATAGGAACAAAACAAGCCTCTGTGTTTTCTACTAGTGGTAAGGGATTTAAATTGATCCTATGATTCTCATTTGGCTAATAAAGGCTAATAACAAACAATTAACAGAAATTACGCTCAGACTCCTTGAACTATCAAAATAGAGTCAAACCTGGTTTGACTCTCCAAATACCAAAAGGTCAACCATCAGGTCAACATTAACTTCAATGGTGGAACCTTGAATCGCTTCATTTGCCACCATGACTGGCTTTGAAACATAAGTCACACCAGTTCACTGCCCCTCCCGGATGTGTGTGTCACACTGCTTTCCACTGGGTGCTGCTACTTCTCCAACGTCCACTCTTTCCATTGGATGCCACACATAAAAAAGTAACTCTTCTACATGCTTTTTCCATTCACATATACAATATGTTTATTTTTAAGATCACTTTTAGGTTTACAAAACAACTGCACCCCAAAATAGAGTGTTCTCCTAGATCTCTCTCCCATCTCCACATGGATTTTCTTCTAATCCAGATCTTGCGATACAATGAGCCACCGTAGAGGCAAGGATAGGTCAAGTCTGTATGGATGCTGATCACGCCATCTGGGCTTCCCAGGCCTTGCTCTCCTGTGAGCGAACTTCACCTTTCTACTCTTCTTGTTTCAGCAACATTTTCCTATCAGCTTTCGTATCTTTGTAACACCATAAAGCCCCTCTCTTGTTCAAAACTTTCCATGGAGGCCTACACCTGACATGAATCAATCCTTCCTTTCTTTCCTCCCTTATTGGTAACAATGTCTTGAAAAGCAAACCGGACACTACATTGGCTGTCATAACTCCAAATAACTTCATCTCCTATTGAAATCTACTTTTGCCCAGGTTACTACAAAAATGAGAATATCCTGTGTTGACTCTGCTATTGCTAATTTTCAGTCTTTAAGTTTCTGAACCTCTCACTCTCTAATCTGGAAAGGACATCAGTTTAAATGTTAGCGCTCCCTTAGCTTCTGGCTGTCCTGCCTTCCTACACAGTCTTCTTACCTTGACTCTTACATAGCAGCCCATTCTTACATACATGGTCTCCACTAGCAGCCCATTGCTTCCTTTCATTCTAAAGTGTTTCCACTCAACTTAAGTGACTTCATTTATTCTAACAGACTAAAATTGAAATGTCGCGAGACCAGATATTCTTGCCTGCTTTGTGCACGAATTTACTCCCAGCGTGACATGTAACAGGTCTGCAGTAACTAGTTTTCAGGGAAAGGATGAAAGAGTTCAACTACCACTTTCATCACAATCAATCACGAATTCATCGTTCCCACTTTGGAAGTATGCCCTGGCCATTCAGTTCCTTCAGGGAGCCCAGTGGAACACCTCCTCTGTGCTCTTCCTCAAGCACAGCATGCCCCAAGTTCACCTTAGATTGATGTACTCTCCCTTAGATTCCGTCTCCCTGTACTCAGGACAACACTCGTCATTAGGACACTCAACATTTTTTTTAGAGGAATTGTTTTAGAAACTTCATGATTATTCAACACTGTTTTATACACACATTATTTAAATATTAAAATAATAATTTTAACAGAGAAAAAATGTATTGAACTTTCCCACATACCGATCTGTGTTCTCTTAAGCCTGATTTACACATTCTCTTCCTCTTGTTCGGGGCTTGCTTCACACTGCCACCTCCCTGTGGTCCCTGTCATGTACTTAACAGCAGGAATGTACAGGATGTATGAGCTGTAGGTCTAACTTACCCCCCAATTTCATTTTTGGGTCACCTTTAAAGTTTTTCATGCTGACTTTCTACGAGAACAATACATCCTGTTTTCTCACCCAAACTAAATTCCATTCATCCTGAACACGCATTTTTTGTGTCGATTCTAAAAGAAACTATCAAGCACCTTTCCTGACAATTGCATCCCACAAGACCAGGCTAATTGTCTCTACTCTGAACTACCAAATACCATGGCACCGCGAAGGTTATACAGATTATGAAAATATCTGTGAAACTATAGATTATCTGTCTCCTTCTCTGACTACAACTTCCCTGAGGTCAAGGTTCATGTTTGCTCAGGAACAATGTTTCCTATCACAATAGGCAGTGATATATGTAGAGATAAATTAAACTAATTGAGGTGAATGTCAGTAAAAGGTTCAGACATCTAATTCCAGAAGACCACTCTCTGTTATTAAAAATAACTATTCATTACTGCTTCTGTTATTATAAATGTAAGTTGAATTCTGAAGCAAAAACTTACCCTAATGGCTAGAAATGGTCATTTAATGACATATCTACACTGGGTTAGGGATCAAGTCATCAAGGATTTGGAAAAAAGCAAGAGATAAAACAAGAACTTGTCAGTGTATCTCAGAGCTTTCCATAGATTAGGGTTCCTTGTTGCTAGATTAAACATTCCAACTTATTTCCCTGGTTAGAAATATATTTATATCACATGGACAATTGATGACATTTCCGAAGACTGATAACCGTTCACCTTTTTGTTATGATTCTCCATCAAGAATGTTTCCACGTTTGTAAAATGTTCGAAGGATTCCCACCTATTTTGGAAGAAGCTGGTGACTAAGAATCGGTCCACATGTTCAGGTCAGATAGAAGCTTCACAATTGAAGTCATGACATTCTACTTAAAACGAATCTCTTGAAGCGGAGTTACTGAATCAGAAGTTAAAGCCTTTATCATCTACGGTGTAGCCGATAAGAGGAGGCTCAGTTTGTCACAGGTTGGATTGTGGGGATGTCACCATTGATGGTGAGCACACAGTGAGGGCCATGTGCAGCTTTCCTGCTGACTGCACTCTGGAGTCCGCACCTGCTTCCTGAGTGCTTCCTTAGTCACAGAACAAGGGGAAATCACCCTCTGTGGAACGTAATGTAACATCTTTTCCAAATATACCGATCACAATCCAGTAAGGTTCATGCTCTGATCATTCTTTCTGGCTCATTTGCTTCAATGACGTACTCTCCTGGGTCTAGAATTATGTTCTGCTCCCTTATCCTGGAACATTCCATTGATTATGTCTTCTTGTCAAAACATATTCCAGATCTCTCACCTTTATCACAAACCTTCTGGAAAGTTTTCATTCATTACCTCTCTTACTTAATGTCTATCTACCTTTCAATTACTCTCTGACTTGTACGCTAACTAATGTATGACAAACAGTCCTTTTGATTGCCATCAATAAAAAAAACCAGATCACTTCCTTTTTCTCCATCATTTCCAGCACCACTTGTTACAGCATCTACCTCCCACTTGATGCTTTCTGGGCCCTTGTTGAAGATCAGGTGTCTATATGCTGATGGTTTTATTTATAGGTTTTCTGTTCTTTTCCATTGCTCTGAGTGTCTGACAGTATGCCAGTACCAAGCTGTTTTGACCTCTGTGGCTGTATAGTAAGTGTCAAAGTCAGATACAGCAAGCCCTCCTGACTTTGTCCTTCCTCTTGAGGAGTTCTCTGCTAATTCTGGGCTTCTTCCTGCTCCATATGAAATTGGTGGTCAGTTTTTCCAACTCTTTGAAGAAGGTTGTTGGTATTTGAATTGGGATAGCTTAACGCTTATATAGTGCCTTGGGTAAGATGGACATCTTTACTATATTGAGTTTTCCGATCCACAAGGATGGGATAGTCTTCCATTTGTGAAGGTCGCTTTGGGTTTTCTAGAGTTTTCCTTGTATAAGTCTTTTGTTTTATTGGTTAGTTATATACCTAGTCATTTCCATTTGTTCTTCGCTATTGTAAAGGGTACTGCCTTCTGAATCTTCTCCTCTTCTGGGGTCTTGTCTGACATTAATCGCAAACCAATAAGACTTCTGTTTGTTGATTTTGTATCCGGCCACTCTTCCACATTCCTCTATCGCTGCCAGTGCTCCTATTTTGGAGCTTTTGGGGTTTTCAATGTATAGAATCATGTTGTCTGCAAACAGCATTACTTTCACCTCCTCCCTCCCAGCTGGATACCTTTAATGTCCTTCCGCTGCCTTATGTTCTTCCAGTACATTGTCCTTCCAGTACAATGTTGAATAGAAGTGGAACAAGGGGTATTCTTGTCTGGTCTCCTTTTTCAGTCAGATTGTTTTTGCCTTTTTTCCATGACTATGATGTTGACTATTGGCTTTTCATAAATGGCTTGTAATAACTTGAGGAATTCCTCCTCCATTCCTATCATCTTGATTGTCTTAATTAGGTATGAGGGTTGGATGTTATCAAATGTTTTCTCTGCATCTAGCAATGTTATCATGTGGTTCTTACCCTTTTTCTTATCAATGTGATGGTTGATGTTGATGGACTTTTGGATGTTGAGCCATCCCTGCATCCCTGGAATGAATCCCACCTGATCATGGTGGGTGATATGTTTTATATACTTTTGTACTCTATTGGCCAATATTTTATTAAGGATTTTTGCATCTATGTTCATTGGAGATATTGGTCTGTAGTTCTCTATTCCTGTGGGATCCTTGCCCTGTTTGGGCGTTACAGTTATACTGGCTTCATAGAATGAGCTTGAGATCCACGTTCTGGAATAATATGTGGAGCATTGGTGTCAGCACTTCCCTGAATGCTTGGTCGAATTCTCCTGTGAAGCCGTCTGGTCCGGGAGCTCTTTTCATTGATACTTTCCAGATAACCATATCTCTTTCTTCTTTTGCTTTGGGTCTGTTGAGGTTCTTGACCTCAATCTGGGATAATCTAGGGAGAGATTGTTTTTCCAACTATTTGCCCATGTCTTCCACATTGTTGAACTGATTAGAATACAGGCTTTCATAATACTTTGTGACTTTCCTTTTAATCTTATTGGAATCGGTTGTGATTTCCCATTTCATCCCTCATCCTGGCTATTGATGTTTGCTCCTTCCTTGCCAGCAGTCTGTCGATTCTGTCAATCATTTCAAAGAACCAGCTTTTTGCTACTGTGATTGTTTTTGCATTGTTCTCTTGTCTTCCCACTCGTTTAATTCTGCCCTGGTTTTTATTATTTCTTTTCTTTTGCTATTGGAGGGGTTGTTCTGTTGACTCTGTTCTAGTTGTTGGAGGTTTTGTGATAGTGAATCATTCATAAGTCTCTATTCCTTTTTCATATGTGCACTTACTGCAATCAAGCTACCTTTAATAACTGCTTTTGCTGTAACCCGTAGGTTTTGGTACAATGTATTCTCATTCTCATTAGTTTCTAGAAACTTTCTAATTTCCTCTGTAATCTGGGCCAGTACCCATGTGTGACACAGAAAATCATTACTCATCCTCCAGTTTCTTGCCCTTGCTTTTCCAGTCGTCCTTTTATTGATCTCCAGCTTTTTTTTTTTTTTTTTATGGTGTGGTGGTCCCAGAGGGTCGGCTGAGTGATCGCTATGTGTTTGAATTTACTCAGGCTCACCTTGTGTCCCAGCATGTGGTCTATTTTTGAAAATGAGCCATATGCATTTGAAAAGAATGTGAATGTTTTTGCATTTGGATGGAGAACTCTGTATATGTTTATCAGGTCTAATCACCTAACTGTGGTGTTTAAAACACACACTATTCCTCTGGTTCTTTGAAGCTTCCTCACCCCCCACTATCATGACACCTCCCCCCGTCACCCCCCCCATCCAACCTTTCAGTTCTGGCTAGACTGGAGCAAGTACGCTGGTACAGATAAGAGCTCGTGACACAGGAAATCCAGGTCAGGCAATCCCCTCAAGAGCAGGAATGGGAGTAGCGATACCAGGAGGGTAGGCGGAAGTTTGGGGAAGAAGAGGAGGAAGGGAAAACGGATTGCAATGACTGACATATAACCACCCCCCTCCCCAGGGGGATGAACAATAGAAATGTGGGTGAAGGGAGACAGCAGTCGGTGTAAGATATGACCATAATAATAATTGGTAATTTATCAGGGGTTCACCAGGGTGGGAGGGTGGGGGAAGGAGGGGAAAAAGAGGAGCTGATATCAAGGGCTCAAATATGTTTAGAAAACGATGATAGCAACATATGTACACATATACTTGATACAATTGAAGCATGGCTAGTCATAAAAGCTGTAAGAGCCCCCAATAAATTTCTTTTTAAAAAACAAAACTAAACCAGATTGCTAGATTCTTATCTGCCTTTCTGGGTACAAATTCAACTTTCATCTCTGTGATACCTTACTCTTCTTTCCACCTTAAAATTCCCTCATCCAAATTCTAGAACATTATCTTCTCTAGTTCTGTTTTTTAACTCCTTATTTTTACTCTATTGTATGCCAATAGCATATGCATCGTTTATTTGTTTGATTGCTTGTTTGTTTGTTTTGGGTCAACGAAGCAACCACTGTCAGTCCACTATGTTGCTGTGAGGCATTGGTTCCGCTGTGACTGTATGGACGACACAATGAAATCTGCCCAGGGGCCTGCCGTCCTCGGAATCACCTCTGTGTTTGAGCTCACTGTCGCAAGCCCTGTGCCAAGTCACTTTGTTGAAGTATTTTCTGCTATCTCTCTACTTTTCCAAGTATGATCCCTTCTGCACAGACTGGTCCCCTGTGGTTAATTCTTCCAAATATGTGAGGTGAAGTCTTTCTATCCTCATTTCAAAGGAGGATTCTGGCTGTATTTCTCCCCAGTAGAGTCGTTTGTTCTTCTAGCTATTTCATATTCATGGATATTTCATATTCTTCACCAAAAATGCGATTTAAAGGCAACCACTCCTTTTTAGTCTTCCATGTACTTTTAAAGCAAGTGAAAATAGCCTGGCTTAGGTCAGGCCCACCTTAATCCTCAAAGTGACATCAACACTTTTAAAACACTTTACAGAGATCTTCCGCAACAGATTCACCCAATGCCATACCCGGTTTGATTTCTGAGTATGGACTTATGTGGGTGTTGATTGCAAATCCAAGCCAGATGAACTCTTGGACAGCTTCAATCATGTATCTACCTATCATGGTGCAGTGACTGCTCTCTTTATACGGAGGTGTAAAAACTGTAGAATGTATCTCCCTCAGTAAGGGCTTCGAGTCCTCTTCACTTTCAGTAAGAAAGGCTGTGTCAGATGGTAACAAGCCTTTTACCAAGCCTGGCACCTGGTTCTTCTTCATCTAATCAATCTTCTTAGATTATTTGCTTACGATCCAAACTACATAAATATGGTAGAGGAATACAGTCTTGATACATAATTTGCCTGATTTAAACCATGCACTATCATCTTGTACTGTTTCAGGGATGCCTCTTGGTCTGTGTATAAGTTCCACATGAGCACAAGGATGCATTCTGGAACTCCCATTCTGAACAATGTTGTTCAGAATTTTTTTTGTGATCCACATACTCAAAGATCTTTAAGCAGTCAATGAAACACGATTAAACATACTTGTGGTAGTCTAATTTCAAATAAGATCCATCTGTGACCAACCATGATATTCTTCATCCCACGACTTCAACCTTCTACTGAATCTGGCTTGAATTTATGGCTGTTTTTGTTTTTAATTCACTATTTCAGTTTACCCTTTTACATTCAATCAATCGCCAAGTCTTCCTTGAGCTACGGGAAATAACTGTGCAAGAAAATATTTTTTAATTCTTTAATTCATGTGACTATTTTAATTGGTAAGTTTGTACTTTATTTTTAGATGAATTTCTACTTCCATGCCCTTACTTCCAGTGTCTTCCTTTATTATACAGTGCTGTGCATTACTTTCCTAAAACACAGATCTGATGCTATCATTTCCAGGCTAAATAATTATTGGTGGTTTCCACTGCCTTTATCCCTAACTCTGTACAATAGTGTTATAAGTCTTTCCTATCTAGCCCCAACCAATGTCACTTTTAACCTTAACTAGTTGTCCCTGGATCCTAGCATCCTATTCACCACCCAAAATGAAAACCAGAATTCACAACGTGCTGACTTACATCCTCATATTTTTTCTTGGTTTAACTTGGTTTAACATTTTCTTCTTGGTTTAACTTGTCAAAATATCACGCTTTTCTTTCAAGTTCAACTCAATTAGCACCTAACCAGAAAAGTCTCGTCACCATTGCCATGACGGTATGAAAACATTCAAAGTGCATTCCCATAGCCTTCATCAGTGTGGCCCATTGGTTCATCGTGCCACCTACTTCCCGTATGACCCTAGCAACGCATATATGATCGGTGCATATTTACACACTGCTTGAAGAAGTGAGTACCTTGGATGAGATGAGTCTTTGCTGGTGGGAGGTCTCGTTTTACTGCTTTATTTCCTCGTCCTTTCCCGTCATTTTGCTGTTCCTGTGCTTCTCGAAGATCACCTGGGTTTGTCCGCATGTCAGGAACTTGTCTTCCATCCAGTACTTCTCTCCCCTTGTAATTGCCTCCTTTTCTCTCAGATGATCTGTCTGTTCTTGCTTCAATCGGAGGGAGCTTTGGCACCATTACAGGCCGTACCTCCAGTTGTGCCTTGGACGGCACAGTGGGGGACTTTATAGCAGGTGGTGGCACTGGAGGGGGTGGAAGATCTGGAAAGACAGTTAAAACACTGTAAGCATCAGACACAAAATTGTTAAGTATTATGATTATCCGTAGAGTCATATTCAACTGCGAACGAGGAACCCTAAAACTCATTGTCACTGAGTGAATTCTACCTCACAGTGACTTTATACAGCTTCATAGAGCTTGTTAAACCTTTATTGAAGCAAATAGCTTCCTCTTTCGCCAGTGAAGCTGCTGATGGGTTTGAATGGCAAATCCAGGAGTTAGCCTTCCAGCACTTACCGATAGTCCCACAGGGAACTTAAATGAACTAGAACGCATGCAAGCAACTAAACAACAAGAGAGCCGGCATGGACTGAACTGAACATGATCTTTTAAAGCGCTGTCTTGAGAACCCTCTTTTATCTGAGTTACAGTAAAGACATAGTTAGAAGACATGATGTACTGAAAGGCTTAAAGTCAACAGACCCAAGACCAGGTGATTCTAAGCTCAGACAGAGCCTATAACTGACAAGTGGAAAAGGAGAAACATCTAATTCAGAGTATCATGGAAACAGCGGTCAGTGGCAGATTTTGTGCTGTACATAGAGATTACCAGACAGTTTGTCATTATCATCAAATCATAAAATATCTGAGCTTAACAGGAATCAAAGCTGCCACTAACATAAGATTATATACATCAAGCTTATATGCAAAGTCTGCGGGATATTTGACTCTCTAGACAAAATCTATTACCACAAGTTCTATATTGGTATTATCTATATTGGTATTCTATATTGGTGAAAAAGGAAAGAGATATCAATGGTAATTTTAAGTGTTCTAAATTTTTATATGTAATTGCCACAGCATTTGATTGATAATTAGAGAGAAATGTTAGATTTGATTTTTATATATAAACATATTAGCAAATGAAATGTATATGTATTATAATTGCCAAATCAAGTCAGGCATTATGTAGCAGTAACAATTTTATATATCTTATACTGATAAATACTATTATTATCCAGTCTTAGATGTAACAATGTTAACTGTGGGCTGTGTTATAACCATATGTCCATTTATCCGCATATATAGACAAGACTCTCCCTTTATATAATTATCTATAAAGTCACATATCACATAAAATCATTCTTCACATAACAATTTCCAACTCTCAGTATAAGGCCCATAAAGTAACTCCTAGGAACATGTACATGCAGACAATTCTACAGGCATCGACTCGCAATAGAGATCTAGCCCTGTTTATTTAAATGCTTAAAGTCCCAAGCCCTAATAATTAATAATAAATCAAGTCAGAATAACATCATTCCATAGAGGGTGGTGAATTTATAATTTATGAAAACTAGGGCTGAGCAAACAATGCAGATTTGCTTTTTAAATCAAGTATGCAAATGCAACGGAAGGGCTGAAAAGACGGGAGGGGAAGACTCTAAGAGAAGGCCCTAGAAATGCACTTATGCTTGGCTTTCACTCGATAAGATGCCAACTGATAAATATTCATATATTTTAATCCTAGCATTCACCTGTTACAGACTTTTGAAATGCAAAGATTAAAAAATAATAATAACGAATTAGAACCTGCCTGTCGGTCCATATATGGCATGAAGAACCCCGCTTAGCCCTTAGCCCGCCCTGGATGTTTCTGAGGTCTCCTATGCACCAAAGAGCCAACTATGGCCCCAATGTCCTGGATTACGGACTAATAAAATCATCCCAATTTACTCTATCAATTCAGACGTAGTCACTCTCATCTGTCTTTATACAGTCCCTTAAAAAGTCTACAAAAGAAATGAATAATTTAAACAAATTTATGAAAACACTACAAATGTAAGGTGATATCCCATACTCTGAACTCAGTACCCATAATCTATAGGCAGTCATCACATTTATCAATAATAGTTCATAAACAATCTTACTAAAGTTAAAAAATCCTTCTATGTCTTACTCGTATGTTTAATTCACACATTAATTAATGGAAACTCCTTATCTTACTCGCCCAATTACTTTTCTTAATAAATTGTGAAAACTATTACTTCTGAGTTTTTTCATGACATATTCCCTGAATAGTTACTTTAAAAGAGGGGAACTGTAGTAATTTGAGAAAACAGTTTCTGAGAAAATGACTTTTATTTCCACGTCAGAAATTCAGCTACCAGGAGTATGCATATTGCTTTTGTTTGAACTGTAAAGAATTGCTAATATTTACCTAATTTCAACTTATTGCTATGCATTCATAGGTAAGTGTAAGATAACATATAGTTAAGTTGTTTTTCTACTGCCACGTGACGGCACTGACTCGACGGCAATGCGTATTATACTAGAAACTTGGAGACGGTAACTCTAAACGCGAGTAGAAAGACCCGTCCTCTCTCCTTATCGTACAAAAGCATCGCTTACAGGTGACTGCTTATCAAAATACTGAAGATAAGTTAAAACGGTGATTTAAAACAGACTTTGAATGATTTTTCCATCTTATCTATTTTTGTGAATTAGAAAAAAGAATTACTGCCTTCTATGCCACCGTATGGATTACGATAATTTTATTTATTTCATTAGAAATCCAAAGAATACAACAAATTATCTTTTTGATTTTACAAACATTTCGGCATCTTTTTGGTTATTATTTAAATTAATCTAACATATAGTCGAGGAGCACCCTCACTTAATAACACAGTTATAATTCCAGATTATGTAGAACTTCTACTGAATTATGGAGCACACTGTAATGAGTATGTACTGTAGAGCACGGGGCCACAGGGAGCTGAATTACCAAGGATAATTTGTAACTGTGCTGTTTAATTTGGTGTGTTTACATTACCAAAAGCATCGTCCCAAATCATCACTCAATGCCGAATCCCCTGAGAACAGGTCCTACAAAGAAAAAGGTGGAAAGTCTACACAAAGCTTGAGGCCGGATTTCTCCCCGACGAGTTCAGCCCACATGTGTTTACATCCAGGGCTGATGTTTGGCCAGTTCGGTTGTTGTTACTATTATGTTCCATTTGGAGGGCTCCCTTTCAGATAATAAACACTGACAAAAAGCTATAAAACTTAGAAAATGCCATTACAGGAGCCCCATAAATGTAACATGCCAGTAGAGTTTGGGAATTTACACCTAGTGCTTGTCCCTTCACGGAAGCAAACATGCACAAAGCCACTGTAATAACCCTTCAAAATCAGATAATATTCTGACAGCTCAGTTTCCCTCACAAAAGAGTTCTGGGCAGAAGCCAGGAGGCCCAGGTGCGCGGTGTCCTGCCAGTATTTAATGTAGTCTAATATCAGATAGATGTTGGAGAGAGAAAATACTCAGAATAAAGTACAGATAATAGCATGGACAGCCACTCGTTGCAAAATTACTTGTGCTCATCATGCTGTGAGCTTTGTATTAAATTTTTCTGTCAAGTGGCAGGAATCGCAGAGAGAAGTGGCTCAGAAAACCCCCCTGGTAACCTTGGATAACGATCTATAATATTAGGCTTTCATATGATAATGGCAAATAATGCCCTTTTTGAAAAACTGCTGACTGGTAATGAAAGTCCTAATCAGATTGTGGTTACAGACGACCAGGAGGAGGTAGGGGACGGTGTCTCTGACACCCTTCTTCAGCCCCGATTGCAAAATCGAGCCAAACTGACAAAATGGGGGAGTCTGAGAGAATTTACCTCACGTGAATTTCCTACAAAGCCCTTGGGTTGTTTTGTACATAAATATATATATAAAGAAAGTAGCAGTTTAATAAATGCTGGGCCACCTGAGGCACTTTCATTAAAGGTTTTCTCGGGAAAACATCACAATGTTTGCATTATTTCCCAATGCTCCCTGGAGAATACAAGTGATCCTCGTCTACGCCAGTCAGTATCATTTGGGAAGGCAGGAAGCTGATTCGATCTGCTTTTTGACACACGGAGTAACACTTTGTAGCATTGCTGTAGTTCGGTTTAAGATTCAAAGAAAAACAGTATCTTCTACTTGCAAGCAAAATTTTACAGGAGAAAAAAGGAGGACACTTTGGGGGGCTTAGTCATCAGCTAGCCATTACTTCAATGATAATGTCTATTTCTATAGAACGGTAAAACAGCCTCTCAAAATATTAAAAGTATATATTGTTTCAGCTTATTAAATAATCAGCTTACTAGGAAATTCGTGACAAGATAAGGAAGTCGACCACTAGTGTACGTAATGTGAGGTTTCATGCAATTAATTTTTAATGTCAGTGGACACATTTTCTAGTTATAGGCAGCCAGGGCAAATAGGCAAGATTCATAGATGTTTTCATCCATTTCGATGGCCTTACCATCTGTGTATGCTTCTCTGCGCAGATGTCCTGGCTGGTGCTTTTGTTTCTTGGCCGGCCTGGCCTTCTGCAGGACGGCAGCGCTCACGTTACTGTCTGTAGATACAGGGCTGGTGGGGCGAGGGCACTGAGATGCGTGAAAATGTCGGCGGCCTGAGGGGGGAGGAAATAGAGCCAAGCTCATCAGTGAATTGTAATTACAACAGGAGCAACATGAAAGGTAAAAATACCCCTAGTGGTTTTTTCTCTTGTTATATGAACACATCAATTCTATTTTAGCGCTGAAAGAAAATAATCTAGAAATTGTAGGCCTTCCCAGTTCTTGCGTGACCTTCTTTTTACCACCACCACTCCCCACCACCACCACCCCTGCTAGCCCCAGAATTTTCAGCTTTTATTTCTTAAATCTGAACATGGGTCCCCCCCCACTTTTGGAAGGCAGAGTCCCCAGGAAATCTTCTGTAAGCTGAAGCCACATAACGTGGAAAAACAATTGCCTTTCATTTATATAGAGGGAAAATATCTGAGCTTATCAGACACAAAAACAACCAACCAAATCATACCACATAACGCGCAGAACTTAAACGAACACTAGCAGATCATATTAACAAATACAGTACGAAGTTGTAGGGGCTTGTTGTTGAGTGTAATCTCCAGAGAATTAGCTTGGTGTTGCCACCTGCCCTGCTCAGGGTGTGTGCTCTCTGGAACAGCTTGCAGAGAAACAAATGTCCAACACTAGTTATGCGTGTTGCCCTTTTTGGCTAAAAGCTAAAGTCCCCCTTGGATTTCTTTCTGTTGGTGAAAACATGTACCAACATAGGTCATTCATATAAGCAGTGATGTAAAACCATCTGTCACAAAGTAGGAGAAACGTGGACTTGCATTTTGCTACATGTTCACGGTATCTGTCCACTAACAAACAGTCCACTTAGGTTTGCAATGAGCTTAACTAATTGTAATTCTTAAACCGAAGTATGAGCTATATTTTTGCACAATGTGTTTGTGCATAGTGTGTTGCTACTTTCTCATGAGAAATAGCCAGTCCTTTAAGACATTTATGTTCTAAATGTGAAGACTAGCTGTGTCCCACATTTTAATTAAAGACACATTTATTTATGCCATTGTTTGAAGTCAGATTCTCAATGCTTACTATTACTTTATAGGTATCATCGCTTCCAAGTAGCTGAAAATGGATCTAGTTCAAAGACAGAAGCCTGCCCCAAATGACTTTCACAGATTCTCTCACTCAAAATATTTACTTGATGAAGACTGTAGGTGGTCCCCCAAAGCCTTCGGGTGGAGTTTTAAAATATGTGTATAGTTGTTGTGGGAGTATATTCAAAAGGACACACACCAATTCAATTGTCCCTGCATGTGCAATTCAGCGACATTGATTACATTCTTCCCTTTGTGTAACCAGTTTTGTCTCCTATTCTGAGCCGATCCACCCTCATTTCCAGAAATTCACAACACCTAAAGTCCCTATCAAAGCTTTTGAGGTGCTGTCGCCAACTTGATCCCACATAGATAGATCTGAAAACAACCCAGGGCTCCTGGGCAGGTATTTTTTAGTAGCCAAGCAAAATTATTGTTTGGTTGCAAGCATGCTACAGGGAGGGGGTAGCTTTGGTTTAAGATGGCCACAAGACCATCTTTTCAGAGGTTCATCTGTCTCCATGGCTCTAGAAGATCTAGATGTCATGACAAATTTAGATTCTGTCATACATTTGTTTCCCTTTGATCAGGATTCATCTAAAGTGTCAAGCCACTTACTAATGGGAGCTGGGCACCATCAAGTTCTCCAGGTCTCATAGCAAAGGAGGCAGTTGTCCTTGGAGGCAATTACCCAGGTATTTTCACACACACCCCACCCCCGCCCTGCATTCCTGACTCCCTCCCTTCTTTCCTGGTGACTTCATGAGAATGACAATCAATGATGTTAGACAAATGCTAACAAGCTTTAAGACTCCTGGCACTACACAACAGACTCGGAGGTAAAACAGAGGTGCGAATCATGTTATTGGGCAAATGAGCTGGGATGCCCCATACAACCAGGAGCCTAGAACTCGGAACCAAGAAATCAAATCCCTTCAGGTGTTTGGTTGCAGACATGCAGTCTCAGTTGCCCCATCTTCCCCCTTTGTTGTAAATATATCACATTTTTGCCAATTGAAATTTTTACAAATGTTTGACTTATTGCAATTGCATTGACAACCTATATGCAACCCTATAATCAATTTGATTTTTTTAAACACCATCATCTGAGCCTCAGTACTCTATAAGCAATACATCTTTTGGGTTTTGGTGGTGGCAGAGGTAGAATTTTTGTTGTTGCTATTGGACAATATCCCCCAGGTACTGGTGGTAGATGAAGTATATTGCAAAGCTATAAAAAATGATCTGTCTGCCGTTACGTAAGCATTATCTTACAATAGACACTGCATATTTAATGCAGTCGCAATCATAATTGAGTGAGCCTAAGCTACACTTTCACTGATTGGGTTTCTACAAATCCCAAAGCTGCAGATGCCGAACTTTACTGCGGTACCACAGGAAACTCAAATAGATCTAGATAACACGGGTTGGGGCCGTACATAGGAGAAGTCACATATTGTGAAGATACTAACTGACACATTTTAAATAATAAGACATTGATGCAGCCACATGAGAAGCAGTGAGACGATTCATTCCTATGAACGGCAATCACGTGATGAGCAGTGCCCTTTCCTGCAAAGAACAGTTTCATAGATAGAGGCCACGGCGTGCTTAGTTCATTATAATCATGAGCCCACGTGATTTAGTAACCCAGAGTGCTACTAAATTACAATAAAATAAAATATTACCCCAAGATCTCTTTAGCCAAAATGGGAACTATTACAATTAAAGTTACATATCCATGAAAATAGAGAATTAGGGCTGAGAATGGACCCATTACTCATTATATTGTGTAAGGCCATCCACTGATCCTAGAGCCTGAGGCAGAAGGTCACTTACAGATGAATTTTCAATTTTATTTCTATGTTTCATGGATTTAATGAACTGAAACACACCCTTAATGTACTCTGAAAGCAGTACTTCGAGATGCTTAACTTGACTTCCTTGTTTTATTTTGTAAACAGAGGATTATCAAACAAGAAGAAATAAAAACTATACATAAAGTGTTATTTGTATATTGAAAGAGAGATTTAAGATTAAATAGTTATTTCATTGTACAAAGCAACTGTCAAAAAAAATAAAAAGGTCTTGGTTGAATTTCACACACTGTGGGCCTGACTGAAATATAAATTTTATAACATAGTGTTTGAAAGACATTATTCCTCCTTGCAATACACTCTTAGTAAGTAATATACAGAAATGGCTTTATTTATGATGTGAGCTAAATTCTCCTTGAATATATTCTATACTAATAAAAGTAATGAGTAATCTAATCTATGAAAAGAATATAGGAAATTTCAAGTGTGAGAGTAAATTTAGAAAAAAAAAACCCCGAAGTATTGATTTTTAGTATACCATTTCTATCTCTGATATATATTTTTATATTATTCTTCATGGTTGGCAGAAATCTATGCATATATAATAGACAAAATTATAAATATATTAATTCTGCAGAAAAGGATATCATACAATAAATGCAGTTCAAATTTAAGGTATAATCTTCTCATACTATTTACGAATGAGAATCACGAGGAGGAGACACATTGAGATGGGTTAGAACATGAGGGTGGACACCTGGCACCTGAAAGTGGGCTATTGGCAATGAAAAGGGCAGATGCTCAGGAAAAAAATGCAAGCATGTGGATTTTGCTCTCTAAATTTTTCATATTAAAACATCTACTATAGGTATTGACCATTTATGCTCAAAAACATATGCTTATTAAAACATTCTTATTGTTAAATAAGGATGCCTTAGAACTGCGTTTCAATTCTGAGGGCTATGAATTATTCAGTGAGGCTCTTCCAACCAGAGTCTGACAGGAGACGCTGGAGTGCCATCCTGCTACATATAACGTGAACCCTCTAGGAGCATTACCAATTCAAGCTATACGCGGGCTGTGTCTTCAGGGTCCTATATCCCTGAACAATGAACTTCCTGGATCCAACAGACAGCTATGACCTAATAGGAGCAGCAGCAGAACCAGGAGCCAGAGCTGGACCAGAGTAATGGGACTTTCCAACCCAGGGGAAAAAACAGGTGGCTGGCTTGAGGAGTGGGGTGCCTCTGGGCACTTAATTGGGGAGGTTGGGCTTGCAAACCTAAGGGAGTGGAGCTTAGTGCCTTAGGCTGAGGTTTATTAGAGTGGGGTGCCTCCTTACTTCAGGGAGTTGGGTTTGCTGACCCACAGAGCTAGAGCTGAATGCCTTTGGTTTCAGGCATAGCGAGTGGAGGATTATGCCGCTTGGGGCATTTATTAGCAGACCTGAAAGAACTTTGTAACACGTCCTGATCAACAGCTCAACCCTCAGCATTTCTCATTGGCAGTACAACTTGTCGACTTCCTGAGAAAACTCTTGAGTCATCAATTTTGCCTGTGGGTTCTGTGTAGCCATTGTAGGACAACACAAACAGCCCCATGGGGTTTACTCAGGCGGAAATCTTTATAGAAGTCGATTTCTAGGCCTTTCTCCTGAGGTTTGAATCACCAGCCTTTCAGTTAGCAGTTCAGTGAGTGATTAACAACATCTTACACCTTCCCTAGTACATTTAATACATACTCTAACACGGACATCAAGAGAATGGGGTTGGGGAGAAATATAGTTTTCTGGTGCTTGACTGACCTACACCTGGATAGTTATGTATTTCTCCTATAGACTTTTTAGTTAAATGGGATTAGAGATCCACACCGCAATGAATTGTCTTTGATAGTTTTTAACTTAAAAAAAACAACAACCCATCAGACACCAGATTCAAAAGGCGCCTGGGTGGTGTGGGCTGCTAACACGCCCAGGCTCTCTGTAGGGGAAAGGCTTTTTCCCTTGCCCTGGAAGAGTCAGTCTCAGAAACCCACAGCGGCAGTTCTACCCTTCCCTAAAGGGTTGCTGTGAGCTGGAATCAACTCAGCGGCAGTGGCTTTTGATTTCCAGGTTTAATAAGGTGAATCTCTGGATGCATACCTGGACTTACATCCATGAAGGAGAACATAGTATCTTTGCATTTCTTTCTCACTTCCAGGTCGGTTCCCATCACTCCCTTGACAGAGGACGGATTGAATACAAACAAGAGTTTATAAACCCCTGCCAAGACTGAGGAATGAATGAAGCGAGGTCGTATTCCTGGAGCGCGGTCTCCAAGGGGAGCAAACTCAAGACAAGGCCCACGAGCTACATTTCAAACAGGGCACCGGCCCGGAGGAGAGGGCCGGGTGCACCGCGCAGGGCTTACCCGCAGCATCCTGCATCTGTCGTCGGGCCACTTTCAGACCCGCGTACTCTGCGGCCGCGGCCACCGCCTGGGCGAAGTCGGCGTCGGTGAAAAAGGAGCCGTCGGACGAGCTGACGCTGGAGCGGCCGCTGGAAATGTTGTCCTCTTCGGAGGCTGAGCCCCAGCCATTGATCATGGAGCCCGTGACGGAGCTCTCGAGGTCGCCAACACTGGAGGCGGGGGTCTGCTCCAGGCCACGCAATAAAAGCCTGCGGGTTTGCATCTTGGCCACCTCCAGGTCCGCTTCGTCCTCCTCCTCTTCCGGCGCGTCCGTGTCCATGTCGGAGACCAGGGGTCCGGAGATGTAGCCGTAGGTGTGCGGCGGGGAGATGGGCCGCGGGGGCGGCGGGGGGCTCACGGGCTGCCGTCTGTGGGAAAAAGCGCAAACAGGCGCCTGACTCAGCGGACGCTGCAAGCGTGGCAGGGGAGCGAGCCAAGGACACCCGACCCAGAGCTGGGTGGGGGCCTTGAATCCGCTAAGAATTGAAGATGACCAGATTTTAACACTGGTAAAGCGGGACAAAAGCGGGACACCATTGATAAAACTCATATCCTGGTGAAATAGCCACATGGCAGCCGAAAACCGTATACCCTAGCTTGTTGTGCCTTCTTTCCAAAAATCGGGACTTTTTTAAAACGCCGCGGGACACCAGACAAATTGTTAAAAATCGCGACTGTTCCACCAAAAGCGGGACGTCTGGTCAAGATCCTAGGTTCAAAGTCAACACAAAACCAAAAGCGTAAAACCAAGCAAAGCGCCAGAGGGCAGTGACACTAGACCTGAGCTTTTTGTTTGTTTGTTTGTTTGTTGGAATTAAAAAAAAGAAAAAGGGAAAAACGACCTGAAAATCAGAGACAAAGTTACCTTTTGGTTTAAGTTTGATAGCTTCGTACTCAACTCTGTCTACAGCTTATGTTCTATCATGTAGACTATCTTCTCTGCTGACATGGGGAAGAGATGATTCTTTTTTGGAAACACAGTGAGAAAAAAAAACAAAAAAGAATACTGGATAAGCAGTTAGTCCCAAAGGAGAATGTCAAGAGGAAAGACGACTAAATCTGATGAGTGCTGTAATAAAAAGGAAGCTATATTGTAGTTTCCACTCCAAAGATGGCCCAGCAAGTGGACTTGCTAAACAGTCCCAGTTAAAGAGATGACACAAATGGGGACTATCAGCTAGAAACAGCTATGGCTTCAGAGAAGACAAGGCCAACAGAGCGAGCACTCAATTTGAAGAGTAAGTAAGACCAGGGGCTCACCTGCTTGGGACAGCCACAGGTTGGGAGACTAGAAAAGATATGGCAGGACGTGAGCTTGGGGATACAACAATCCAGGTCTACAAACACTTCACAATGCTGCCCCGGAGGGAGGCTTGCATCAGTGTTGGGTTAATCTGGAAACAAGCCCATCTTCCACTGTTACGATACTCAATGGGTAAAACAAGATAGAATAGTCCATCAGGCTAGCCAAGAAGACTGGGTCCTCAGTTTACACCTACTTGTTTGTTTTACTCTTGGCTCCCTTAGCACACCTGGAAAAGGAGGGGGCAGCGGTGTTAAAAGCAGAGCAGCTCTGTCCTCTTACTCCGGACGACCAGAGCCACGGCCAGAGCTACGTTCAGAGCAAACAACAACAACAAGCAAGGGATCTGGCCAGGATCTAACTTAAGGGACCTACTCTGGAAAGGGAATAGGAGATCCACACAGCACAGGTATTTTTTTTTAGGGTAGACATGATGGTTGTTCAAGGGGAAAACATCCTTTGTGGGTTCATCATCCTAATGAAACGAGAGACTTGAACTGTTTCCATGAGCAGAACTGTCAAGCATTAAACAGGAGTGCATGAATAGTATCATTACTGTCTTGAGCACCTGCTTTGTAGTCCAGTATATTTTACAATGTTAACAACAATGAGGTGAGTTTCCTGATTCCTATTTCACAGAATTGGTACGGAACTTCTGAAGAGGTAAGGACCCCACTGACGTTCCCACAACTAGCAGGTTTTAGATCCAGAGAGTAATGAAAAAACATGACTCAAGTTATCTTTTTTCTAGGAATGCGGTGATGACATCTATGGCCCTTCAATATCATTGATGACTTTTCTTGTTTGGGTGGCTTTCATGCATTTGCATACAGCACTGAAAGGACAATGAGGGCTATGCCACAGCTGGTTATTCCAGAGTACAAGGTCTAACGGTTTCAACATGGACGCTATGCTGCGCAAGGCGGAAAGCCGTGGTTTCATTTGGAATACTGCAAAATACCAACGTAAAAGTCAATTTCCAGTCCTTGTCAGAACGCACATCCAAAACTGCACAAGGAAAAAATGTGTTTTTTAATGATATTTGCTATGGTTTATTGAACACTTAGTCTATGCTAGACCTGTGTAAACCCTTTAATCCTTTTAACATCTCATTTTTGCCAAGGAGAAAAGTAAGCTCAGAATGGCTATGGAATTTGTGCCAGATCACAGCATGATTGGTGGCTTCTCTTTTCATTGGAAATTCAGGCTCTTTGAGCTCGCACTTTCAGTGAGAAACTTTTTTTTAAAAACAGGCATATAAGACTTTTTAGCACAAGGGGGCTTGTTTTGAGCATCAATAAAGGGCTATAGAACAGCCAATTCCACTACGAAAGGACATCAGCATTGTTGAGTTTGGAGATTTGGATTCTGTAGAACAAAAAAAATCTTCATTTTAAACCAGGGCTGGCTTTCAACAACTACCACCCCATGCGAACATTGAGGAGAGTGGGAAAATTTATTCAAACCATCTGTAAATAAGGCAAGCCCAGGGAATGTGTGATAAACATGTACAGTTTGAAAAATGTAATATATTCAAATTTGAAAACAAAACCCCATTTCAGGGTGCTGTGCTCAAGTGGAACTTGCTGCAAATGTAGCTCCAACTCTCTAGACTTTTTCCCCTGAGGGGTTTTCAGCATCTTCTGAAATAATGTACGTGCATCGGACTCCGAATCACAACACGCTGGGCTCTTGCAAAAAATGATGCCTTCATAAACATGCTCAAGAGGAAGAAAGATATAGTGGCATTAACTTATGAAAGCAGGTGCTTGTACTAGGTAGAAGACAAAAGGATTAAATATGTACCTTTCAGATTTGTTTCTAAAATGGATGTAGTTCAATATTTTGCATAACTAGCCACTCTACAGTTTGTATACAGACAAGACGTCACATTTTGCTTTGCCTTCTTATTTTCTTTTTCTTCCGGCGAGATCATATTCAATGTATGTGTATATTAGTAAAATTCCACTAAATGTAGTATGGACGTGAAAAATGATACTTATTCTTCAGGAGATTTTCCTTAAATCTCCCCTAAAACTCAGCAGTGTAAATAAATTTAATTATATTACTTCCTAAGTATTATCTGAGAAAAAAGCAAATATTTTTCTTATATTGGACACTTTAAATAAAAATTGGATATCCTAGAATTTCATTAAAATGTCAAAATTGTAATTTCCCTAGCAATGCAAGTTGCAAATATTTACAAGATCAAACATTGCTATACGTGTATTATAGAATGGTTTTTGTCCAGTAATTTTTTTATTAATGTAGGACAGTACTTATACTCGTATGGGTCCCCAAACAATAAACATAAAGGTAACTGGCATTCATTCGTTAACATTTACAGTGTGCCTACTGACTATGGTGCAGACTATAATATTCCAATCCAACCAATCAATCACCTGTAACAGTGGCTCAAAATGTAAGGATTCAATTGCAAGGCTTATAAACTTGGTGGAAAAATGGAATTAAAAGACAGTCGAATTTTTCCATGAACTCTTTGAAGCCACTTCTTATGTATCAGATTGGGCTGGGCTGTGTTTTGCAAAGGTGCCCATAGCACTTTCTCGGATCTGAAATGGTCTTCTGAATTGTAACTTTGTCGCTGGCCCACCAAATCAAGGATTTTACACACTGTTGAATCTGGGTAGCCTCTGTGACCGCTTTGTCTAATAGAATATAGCAGAAGCAAGGGCGTGGCCATCTGAGTGTAACCTTTAACTGGCCCAGCAACTGCCTCCCCATCCCACTCCCGCGACTGTAAAAGAAGTTCAGCTGCCTCCGTTGAGGATGAGACAGAACGAGAGAGCAAACTGAGGGATCAGGCATAGAGTTACACAGCAAACTTGAAAAGGAATCTTCCATCTCAAACTGTCTAGTTGAAGCCAAACAAATCAGAGATGAATCACAGAGCTAAATCCTTTCAGGATTCCTGACCAGTACTTGTAACCCCAATAAAGTGGTTGCTTTAGGTCTCTAAGCCTTGGAATAGCTTGCTAAGCAGTTTTAAAAACAGGGCTCAGGTATTTGCCAGAAATTCAGCAACACAGCCTTTTCCTGATGTGGTTTGGGGAGGAGACAATTTATTAAATGTCAAATGAGAGTGCAGGGTTAATGAACCAGCATGACAGTGGTGTGTTGTGGGAACTCACAGAATTGGGTCCTTCCCCAGGGTTAGGGCATCAGAGAAAGATTCTGCAGAGAGTACCTGCAACGTAATCTTATTCCGAAAGGATGCAAAGGAGTTAGCGCCCAAAGGGCGATGGGGCACCACCTATCTGTCAGTTTGACATCTTGCGGTGGTTGTGGGTTGCCATGATGCCGGAAGCTAAGCTACCAATATTTCATAAGCAGTTAGAGTCACCCATCGTGGACCATTCTTAGCGGAGCTTCCACGTGAAGATAGATGAGGAAGAAGCGGTCTGGTGAACTTCTGAACAAGAACCAAGGAAAACACTGTCGATCACAGCAGAATACGGTCAGGCAGCATGCTGGAGGATCTGCTGGCTAGCTTAGAGGGCAATGATGAACTCAAGCATGCCCATGACCGTGATGGCGGCGTGAGACCAGGCAATGTTTCCTTCTGTCATTCATGGGGTGGCCAGGGTGAGAGCTGACTCCACAGTAATAGTAGCACGAGTGTTCCAGGAAGACGAGGTCATACATACAAACACTGTCCATCCTACCAACTGGAAGAAAGTTGGCAAAGACAGCCCAGATAGAGAGGAAGGGACTGCCAAGGGACGAAGGGGTCAAAGTAGAAAAGGCTTTGATTGATACATTAAGTAATCACACCTTCAGTCTAAGGGCAATGGAAAGCCATTGAGAGAGGTTAAGCAATGGGCAGACTTGATCAGAATTGCACTTTCGGAAGATGCCCCTGCTCAGTCTTCAGCAGAAGAGATTACACTGAGGAAGGGGCACGGCTAAAGGCAACAACACCCCCACTTAGGGGACCATTACTGTAATGCAGGTGAAAGAAAATGGCTGTCAGAACTAGCAAATTGCCTTGATGGCTGAAGATTTTTGTATCATGCTGAGTGATAGCTGGGCTTAAAGATATGCAGGAACAAGGACATGTCTCTGGCCTAAAGCTGCGGCATGAGATCTGTAGAGAAAGGCTTTCTATCTCTAATGAGTCCATAATTAGGGGCGTGGCATGATGATAAGAAACAAATCATCTCCAGATGCAGCAAGGCTTTGGGAAGAGGTTTCAGTCAAGGGCTTAAGTGAAGATATAGAGTCAAGATAAGTAAAAAACAACTTGAATGTCTAACATTTGAGAATTAGGTCAATAAATTACAGTACACATCTAATGCAAATATCTCTATAATACATTAGAATGAAAACCACACCATTCAAGCAAAAAGTGTACATTATAAAATCATACTGGCATACCATAAATTCAAAGCCGTGTCAGAGCCTGTCGAGATGAAAGACGGAAAGGATCTCCACTGAGGTGAGGAGAGTGATGCTGACGACATACACAGATCATTGGTACCCTGATATTTTAATTTTTAAAAATTCTATAGTATATGTGTATATTATACCTTTATATTTCATGAAATGAAGTACCCATATTAATCTTTAAATGGATTCCCATATTCTTTTTATTAACCCTCAGTGCTGTTTTCAGCAACAATCCTGGTTACTAAATTATAAATATTTGTTAACACTAAGAAAGCGGTCTCTCACAAAGGACAGAATGCAGTCTAACTGAATTATCATAGGTATAGGCATCCAATGTATCTCCCAATGATATATGTTCACCTTACATTCACACAGGTCCCACAACGCTAACACAGCAAGAGGAGGTCAACTCCCAGTTCTCCTGTGGGATCAGATTTCATTCAACAACCTCCTGAAGGAACCCCAGGAACTCCAGGGCCTGAGTCAGGCAGGGCTCTGCCCTCATGGAGCGTCCCAAATCCTAGGGCAGACTCGCTGCCATTGAGTGGATTCCCACTCACAGTGACCCTGTAGGACAGCACCAGAGCGCCCCGTTGCATTCCCAGAACTTCAAACCTTTACAGGAACCGACAGCCTCATCTTTCTCTCATAGAGGGCTTGTGGTATTCAACCAGCTGACCTTGCAGCTCCCAGCTTCATCTGTAGTCCACTACTCCACAAACACACCTTAATAGGGAAACTAATGCAAATCTAAAACTATGAAATGTGACTACAGTATGAAAACTGATCAGTGGGCAAAGATGGGAACAGACCCCTGGGAGGGGTTCAGATCAGTCATTTTGTGCCTTGCAATCGGAAGAACCTTTCAAAGAGGAGGCGGGCAGGCTTGGAAAGAGAAGTGTTTGCCAGGCATTCAAAGTGAACTGCTGTCTAAGACCTGGGTGTTATCGAGTTCAAGACCATGTCAGAAATCTGAAACAGTCTAGTGAGAAGAGAAGGTATGTCGTCGGGCAAGGAGAATTGGGAAGAAAGAGCTAGGTACCAGGGGTCAACTGTCAAAGGCTTTGGATTCTGGCCTAAATAATAAGACTTGACTCTGAGCAAGGGAAGCCCACCGCGCCTCTGAATGCAGAGCGACATCATCAGACTTGTGTGTAAAAAAGGATAATGGGAGACTCTGTGGCGCGTGAACAGGAAAAGGGAGGGAGAAGACAATTGGAAATCGATTCAAACCTATCGCAGTACTTCATGAAAGAGGGACAGAAGGCCTGTCGTAGCTGCTGTAGGAACGGAAACGAAATAAAATCGAGAGATACCCTGAAATGAGAACTGAATGGACTTAGTCAATAATTTAATTTGGTAGGTGGAAGAAGTGAAACAAATGAGATAGTTGGGGGTGATTTTGATCTCGCTCATTTTGAAAATGTTGGATATTTACATGGTGGTGGGTCATGAGAAACAAGATAAACCAAGAAAGGAGGTGAAGAGGCAAGTTTGACAGGCAATTTATAAACTATCAAGGGCTCATGAGGGAGGGGGCAGCGGGGAGGGAGGGGAAAAATGAGGACCTAATGTCGGGGGTTTAAGTGGAGAGAAAATGTTTTGAGAATGATGTACAAATGAGCTTTTCACAATTGATGTGTGTATGGATTGCGATAACAGTTGTATGAGACCCTAATAAAATGTTTAGAAAAGAAAAAAAAATTGATTTGGGACATGCGGAATCTGAGATACGTACATGAAAACCATTATCATGGTAGTAGGGGAAATGGTGTGAGCTCCCTAAATAAACTTGAGAACAATCAGAATATAAATGACCCTCATGAAATGGAGTGAACGTATGCAGGTAAAGACGGTGGGGAACTAATGTTGAATAGCTACTCTGCTTCAGAAATTATGTGGCTTTTATCTCATCTGATTCTCCCAACTTACAAAACTCCATCTCTACCCAAAGAGAAGCGATAGGGACTGAGAAGCCTTTAGATCTGACCGTTTCTGGCCACTTTCAATGAAGTGCTAGAAGCAAGCTGCCAGGAGTCATACAGGAGCTGACCAGGGTAGAGCTGGGTGTGAGGAAGCAGCAGTCGCCAAATGAGACCGTGGAGGAAGAGAGGAGAGCACGGTCATTCAAAGACGAGGCAGAGACAAGCAGGAAGGAAAGAGCAGATTCCATGAAAGCCACAACAGATCCAAGTGAAGAGCTTTTGACTCTCTGTGAGGAAGCTGGAGAGGAATAAAACGGGGTGGAGGCAATAAAACAAGAGGCTGGACTGAAAGCAGATATTTATTGGACAGCCTCGGTAATGCAGGAAAACTCTGTGACAAAATAAGTGATTTCAGGGGATAAAAAGAGTAGCTATCAGCCTTTATTGTGGTAAGTCCAAGAACAGGTCATTTGCTTCAAATAAGCGTAGCAGAGATGGACATGGTGCGTGCCCTTCATAGGAGAAAGCAGGTAATTTGTTCTCAGACCTCATGAAATTCCACAGGCTAACATTATGGTTAAACAGATGACACCCCAACCTTCCCCTGCCACTTATAACCAAGACATAAAAGGAGGGTTTCTTCTTCCTTTCATTTTAGAACACGTGATTTTAATTTCTTAATGAGAGCAAGGCTAATGAAACATTGAAAATTGCATTTTAATCTAAGGATAAGGCAGGGGTGGGGAGAAACGGAAGCAGTCAAAGCCAGAAATTGTTACTCGTTCAAGAACACTGAGGAAAAATCTTCTGAGGCATTTTAATATAATCTATTTCAAGTGATAGTAGAAATAACATAGAAATATCTATATGTAACGTAATCTGTCAAAGTCAATACAACCCAATAAGATCATTGACAACCAAGGAAGAGCAAACACAATCCAGTAATAGCTTCTGTGTGGTAGAAATGACAGGTGAAGTAGTTGTATGCAACAAAAATACATATTTATTTTGGTTGAGAGATAAGGTTGGAGGCCTTTTGGGTAGCTTACTGATGATTTATGCATGGGTTATGTTGTCAAATTTTCTAGTCTACATATTATACATCACTAACCAACACAAAATGAATATACAAAATCTACTCTTCTGTGTCACTGCAGTTGTGATTAAATATATATATATAAACATGTGTGTGTATATATATGTGTATCTGTGTGTGTATATATATATATATATATAATTATGTGGCTTAATTTTTAAAAGAAAGTAGAAAATATACTTCCCAACCAAAGAGGCAACTTCTCCAGTCAAAGGAAAAATTAAACTACAAAATAAAGTTATGAGAAATGTAACAGCACTTCGTCGGACAAGATCCCCAGTTTACGAGTGCCGTGATCATAAGCAGGGGACTAGCAATGTACACGGCTTTATGAAAGCAAGTTCAAAGGGGTCAATGAATCGAATGTGTTGGTCAACAAGAGGTGCTGGCATATTAAGGCCCTGGGAGTACTGTTTGGCGCTATTAGAGGAAAAGGCCCAGGTGAGGTGAACATGACTGCAGGGAGCAGTGCCGAGTCAGTGGCACGTAATCTGTGTGTCAAGAAGGACAGCCACAACATACCTCCGGTCCGGTGGGTGCTGCATGTGGCCAATCTCCTCTGGGCAGTCCTGTAACATGGGCTGGAGTTCTTCCTGTGGGGAGGGGGTCAGAGTGGCAGTGGACTGATGGCTATAGGACACAGCAGCTGGAGAAGAAGCTGCTCCTCTCACCGGGGGGGTAGGGCCTCTTTCATCTTCCTCCTCTTCTAGTTCATCTTGTTGCAAATACATCCTTGCTGGTGGCACCGGGCATGCCACTTCTTGGTCATAGCTGAAACAAATGATAATAACATGTACACTTAGTTCAAGTTAACCATACAAACTATTTGTTTAGCAAGTGCAAAGTCAGCTTTGAACAATACCTGTAACAGAGTGCTCTTCTAGGCAATATTGAGGAAGTATTGTTGGTAGGGGGAACGTTCATCGTCACAAAGGTCTGTACATTACTCCCTACACGATTATTCCTGAGATATGTTAATGTACATCTATAGATGACAGACTCTGAGAAAGCACGCTCTAAAGAAATTTCACAGAGTATATTTTTACTTAGTACTTCCTGCATGTAGCAGTAACTACTAAGTGCTTACCTCGTAGCTAAAAAGCTACTGGTTCAAACCCAGCCAGGGGGCTCTCAGAAGACAGCGCTGGTGATGTGCTTTTGCAAGTCACAGCCTTCAAAACTCCAGGGAGCTCATTTCTAATTTGCACCCCTGGAGTCACAGACTGGGCGGTGGGCGATTTCTCACGGGTGTCCCACACTTTATCCTTCCAACCTGACATGTTCTCGACAGGAAGGCTCAGGCTGGTGTTACATATGATTTAAGGCGAGGAGTAGACATAGAAAAATAACTTCTGAAAAACTCTTCAAGGAGAGCGAGCCCTAGGGGAGTCGTGGATACCTGGTGGACTGCTAACTGCAAGGTGAGCAGTTTGAAACCACCAGCAGCTCCACAGCAGAAGGACAGGGCTGTCTACTCCCATAAATCGTTTCAGTCTTGGAAATTCATTTGGTTGTGGGGGGCGGGCAGGAGGAGGTGAAGTCTTTTAGGTCCTATATGGTTGCTATGCATCAGCATCGATTTCACAGCAGTACGTTTGTTTGGTTTGGGGGTTTTAAGAAGGAAAGATGAACTCGATTAGTCCAAGATACCCCATTTTCCTCTGAAATTATGTCAGATCAATATCTATTTCGTTGATCACAGTAGAGTAGTGGGCTTCCCTTTGGGTAGAAGAGTATAGTTTTTATGCAATTAAGCAAGAAGACTCCCCCTTCCTCTTCTCGAGCTGTGTACATGTCCGTGCTTTTTAATCAGAAAGACAGCGATCGATTGTTATACCTAGCTTGTATGCCTCTTTCCGCTCCGGCTCATTCTCCACCATCTACCCTGATGTGTCTGAACTTTCTAGTGAGAAAGCTGGAGTTCAACTCAGCTGGGTTCTGCTTTTCTCGGGCCCTTTTCTAATTCTATCCTTTCTCTCCGCCATCCTTTCCTATCTTCCAGTCAGCAACAGATAGCAATTTCCCACTTACACAAACTAGAAATTATCCTCCTTTTTTGGCTATTGCTCACCCTTCAAACAAAGCTTCCTGGTATTCCCTTCTCTTTTGCTAGCATTTTATTTATTTTCCAATTTGCTAACTTTCATATATACTGCAGTACATACTCTGCAACAGCTTGTAGTGATCTCGCTGTCCCTGGTGACTCTTTCCTTCTCCATCCTGAAATGGATGAAAAGATTTCTACCCTGTAACATACTCATGTCATTAATTTGCTTCAGAGAGTTAAAGGGTCTTCTAGTTGTCGAGAGAGTCCAATATAAACTCTTAAATAAGGCGCTGAGGTATCTCCATGAGCTGGCTTCTACTTACGTTCCAGCTGCCTCTCACTCCCCTACCATCTGTTTCATGTCAGTTCCCGAGAGTCCTCATCTGTGTGGTCCAATGTTCATAAAACCCGTCCTTCTACTTTACCTCCACTGAAGGAGAGTCTTCTCATTTGTCAAGGTCAGAGTCAAGGTCAAAAGCCTAGCAGAACAGGAAGCATGTCCATTCTTCCATTTATAATGAGTCCTTTTCTTTGGAGTACAGTTGTCAGCCCTATATCTTTTTTGAAAAAAAGCATCTGTATCTATCTATTCCATTTGTGAATGAACTTATTTGTGAACTAAAATAAGCAAGAAATAATTGCATTACTATAATCTTGAAGGTGAATTTTAAAAACAATATATGTATTTAAAATGTTAACAGTTTTATTGAGATATCATTCACATATTATAGAATTCTGTAAGCTTAGACATATTAAAAAGAGTTGTGTGATCTCCAGAATCAATTCTGGAACATTATCTTCTCTCTTGCACTTGTTATCAACTCCCCATTTAAAAACAAATATATTCCTATAGAAGAATATTTATTTGAAAAATGTGTACATAGAAATAAATTTTATAAAAATGTAATTGGAATATGAGAGCACAGAGACTTGGTCTTAGCACACAGTTGGATCTGTAAAACTGTGGTTTTGTGATGAATGGAAGAAGTAGGGCTATTTCTATAACAGTCCCCGTGAGAAGATGAATGTTTGGTAGACTTCAGCTTGCGGTTTTGTTAACTCTCTAGGGCGAGTGCATTCTCCCGCTCGATGAACCCCAGCGGGGAAGCTGCTGGTGAGCTTTCCTGTATAGTGAAGACGTCCAGGTCTCCGCGTTTGGAATGGGGAGAGACACACTAACTCTCAGTCATGTAAGAACGACCTGCTTAATCTGTACTGGAAAATAATTCCGTAAAAACTTTTAAATTTCACACATATTTTCAGACTACTGTGAGTATACCTCAGAACTGTTTTAACTCTACTGGAGTTATGGCCAGAAGCCACACGAGGATTTCATGAAAAGTAAGATATGTGCCACACAAGTCCTCATTTGGAAAGCCACAAAACCACACACACACACACACACACACATACACACACAGATGAAGTCCTGGGGCATTGCAAGTGGTTTATGTACTCAGTCAACTAACTGAAAGGCTGGAGGTTCGAGCTCCACCCTGGGGGCCTCTGAGCCAAGGCTTGAAGTTGGCCAGTCCAACCCTCGGCGCACCATCCTATCTTTACCCTCACCAGGCTGCTATGAGTCCGAAGAGATTCGATGGCCCCTGTGTATGAGTGGGCGACAAAGAATCTTACGGAAAATGGAACGGAAAGATTATGGAGTCGATCTATGAACTTTTGGAGGTCATCTGGTGTGTGTGTGTGTGTGTGTGTGTGTGTGTGTGTGTGTGTGTGTGTATTTAAATGGAGTCATAGCTCCTGATATTTCGTTTCCAAAAGAACTGCGAGGCACACATTTCTCTTCTTTTCCTGAGTACACACAGAAGCGTTTTCAGAGTCCGGGGGTAGGGCAAACCGTTCAGCACTTGACTCCCAGACAAAAGGCTGGTGCTGCACACTGACCGACAAACTTCAGTAGCCCTGGTGGGCTACATGATGGGCTGCTAACCATCAGAGCTTAGCAGTTCAAACTTATCAGCTTCAGGATGTCGGGCGGGGGAGGGTGTCTGCTCCTGTGAAGATGTACAGCCTCAGACGCCCGCAGGGGGCAGTTCTACCCTGCCCATTGAGCGACTGGGAGTCAGAATTGACTGAATGGCAGTCAGTCAGTTTGTTAGTTGGTTTTGAGAGATTTTTTTGGAAGACAGGGCTGCCAACTTGCTTCCAAAAGGTCAGTCTTGAACTCACTCTGGATCAGCTTAACTCTGTACACATATGGTCACCACGAATCAGAATCAAGTCAATGGTAACCAACAATGCCCACAGGAGGGTGCTCCATCTGACAGTCTTGCTAACCTCCCAATATGGGTGGCATCAACTGTTCATACAGCTGAGCAGTCAGTTTCCCCTTGTTACGCCTAGTTTAACAATCACTTCATAAATCGGTCTAAGAAACCATAGGCTCGGTTCTGAGAAGTCCTCTTACCTTTCGTCCACAGAAATATTGTACTCTTCACTGTTGCTGTGTGGAGGATGCACAGGGGGGGGAGGAAGCAGGTCTGCCCAGTTCATGCCGCCTTGTTTTGGTACTTTGGGTGTCCGTGCCCCTTTCTTATGCCCTTGACTCCCTTGAAAATAAAGCAAATGTATGGTAAGTCATTTATCCCAGGCCTTTGAGAATTTTCTATCAGCCACAGGTTAATTATTTTCTGTAAACACAGTCTCATAATTCATATAGCATATAGACAAAAAATTGCTTCACTTGTTTTAAACAGAACTTCCTACAATATAAAAAAATGCCAAGTAGTCCCAAGTTCAGTATCTAATAAATAGCAGAAGAGGAATAAAAGCATAAATGAATTTTACAAGTCTTATCACTAATAGTGATCTTCCCACAGCAATTAATTGCATTATGGATTATCATCTAAAACAAATGAGCTGTAGACATATTTTCTGGAGTGCCTTTCTATTATTTAATAGCTGGAACCTAAAATACAATATGATACAGATACGATCTATTAGAGTTCCACTGTTGCATTAAATTACTGAATATATATAATTTGTACTTGTCCACTGAAATGTTTTAGGCACAATGGAATGACTGGTTTTCATCAGAAGGGCAGGTTCAGATGAAAATAATTGCTGGAAGAACTAATATAACCACTGACAAAGGAACAGAAAAAAATTATTGAAAAGAACAGAAATGTTCTGAGCCACTGTTCTTATAAATGTGTTTCCACTATGGTTGATCAGAAAACGATGTCACTTGGACAGTCTTCATAGTTTGAAATCGACCAACTACCCAAACGTGCCAGTTTCCTGATTACAGATGTGATACACTGTTTAAACAGAGGTAGCTGTACATTTTACAAAATTCATTCTAAAATAACCCTGGAGCAAAAGATATTTTGGACTACATCATAGTCTCCCGAAAACACCATGCATATATTTGGGGCTCATCTGAGTTTATAATTGGTTTTCTATTCTTCCATTTCTATTGATTCCATTTTTCTCTTGAAAGAATGAAAATGAGAACTAAAACCCAACCCTCCTGAGAATGATTCATAGCAGGGAATGGAGCATCTCCGGGTGACCTGGCATCTGCCATTCTATCAGGAAACTATTCGGTGGAATTACCAGCAAATGCTCATGAGGTCACTTGGTTGCATCCAACATTCATACATTCATTTTTCTTATGTACTCATAGTTCATTAATATCAGTGAATTATCTTGGTAGTGGCACATATTGGACTACTCATTACAAAGTCAGCAGTTTGAACCCACCAGCTGCTTGACAGGAGAAAGATGAAGCTTTCTACTCCTGTAAAGAGTTACTTAACAATCTCAGAAACCCACAGGGGCAGTTCTACCTGTCCTATAGGCTCCCTATGAATCAGCATCGTCGTAACAGCAGAAGAATTTTGTTTTGCTTTGATCTGAAGCAGTGCTAAGTTATATGGTGCATGAAAACAAGTCTTAGCATAGTCAATGAGTCATTTTTAAAAATTTATTTGGAAAACTTTTTAGTTAAATGGCAGTGTTTACTAAGCTAGATATACTTTCATGGGTACATTACTGTCCCAAGTTTGGGCTGAAGGGTAGACTGTTATTAATAAATTATGGCTGCCGGCCCCGTGCTTGTGTGGCTCCATTCAGTCTTCTTTCCTCTAGTTAGTTGCCCTGTTTTGGGAAGAGTGTACACACATCACACAGATGACACCCAGCATCTTCCCCTTGCTCTCTGGGCACACAATGACTCTAACAGCTTCATCAGTTTGCAGAGGCTGAGCATCATGGATTTCTCCTAGACCTCATGTTATTGCTTCAGTCTCTCCCCTACTTATCGCCAGATTGTATTACTTTATCTATGTGGAGATATACACACACCTAGAAACATATATCGGTATATTAGAATAGCAAATGATCAGTTATAGAACACAGCAATCCAGATGTCTAAGCCAAGGAATGAATGAATAACGTCAATAACAACATACGAATATCTGTTTGTTTTTTTCATTAGGATATTGGTCTCTTTACAAGTAACTAAGAATTCAAAGACCAAATGGCATGAGATAACAAAAATTCAAATATTTTATGAGATTTTCCAAGAGTAGTCCCTAGGAAGCTCTTGCTTACCTTAAAAAGAAAAACTCAATAAGATTTTACTGATAAAAATATATCAAGGACATATAACAGAACCAGAGGAAATCTGAAAAGGTATCGCTCAGAAGGTGAAGGGTGAATTCAAAGTCCTTTACATTATATTTGAAACCGTTTTCTTCAGGGATCGCAACACAGGCTAGGAAATGCTAAAGGGAACAGCCTAAACCAAGAGAAAAGTCAGTGTTAAATAGCAAACTCACTACCGAAGAGAGGTAGGGACAGTTTTTTGGAATCATCTCATATCAACTTTGATCCAGTTCCGGAGAGGTGCCCTACTCCTGGAGAAACACACTGGAGTCGAGACCACTCAGCTCTGTTCTCACTGGGGTGTGACTTGCCACATGTTGCGTTCTCATAATGAACCACCCTTAATTAGGAAAACAGGACTTAAGTACCAGCACATTCCCATCTGCAGCCTCTATCAGCAAAACAGCTGGCTGGCAGCTGCGACAGCATGAAGTCCACAGGGAAGAGGTCTCACTGTGGCTTCTGAGGCCCGGCAGACTCTAGTTGGAGGTTGCTTTAAGAGTTTTTAGGGCAAGAACCGAGGGGTAGAAAAGAGAGATCATAGGCTGAGCAGAGGTCCTTTTGTAACTCAATCTCGTTTCTTCTCAGAGGCGTTTGAGTTAGTTCAAGTGTATTCAAATAGCAGGTACTTTTTAGGTGAGAGCAGATGGAAGAATCTACACCACCCCAAACCCACGGCCATCATTCTGATTCTGAATCACAGTAGGTCTATAGGACGGAGTAGAACTGCTCCTAGGGTTTCTGAGGCTGAACAGCCAGCCTCCTTAGTCTCCCCTGGAGTGGCTGGGGGGTTTGAGTAGCCACGGGATCTTGCGTTCAGGAGCCCAACCCTTACCCCACTCTGCCGCCAGTGCCTTCAGATGTATCTGTTCTCCCTGATACCGAGCCGATGCCAACTCATGGAATGCTGTAAGCGCCGACCCGTCCCTGCGAGTTTCCCAGAAGGAAACTCCGAACGGGAGGAGAAAGCCCCGTTTGTCTTTCTCCTTTAGAGTGGCTGGTGGTTTAGAACGGCTAACCTTGTGGATCACAGCCCAACACAGAACAGCTGTCCCACCAGGGACACAAATATGGATCCTGCTCATACATCAACAACAACAATAAACAAAACATTGGTTTTCTGGCTTTGAAGGCTTAGGACCATAGCTTCCTGGGATCATTCGGTCAATTCGCTTAGCATCATCCACAAAAGTAAAGATCTTTATCCTAATGAAATGAGCAGCTCCTGGGATCAGCCAATTAACACCTAATAGTGGGTCTCTGCTCACCAAGAGCCAGAGTAAAAGGGTAACTAAACTGTAGGAAGAAATAAGTCTATACAAGCCACGACCGCACTCTAGCCTGAGACCAGAACTAGCCGGTGGCTGGCTACTAGGACAGATGTTCCTGACAGCCGACAGTTGACCCTGCTAGAACGGGAGAAAAAGATGGAGCAGATCTTAAATTCTAATTAAAAAACAAAAAATCCCAACAACCCGGAACAGTGGAGAACAGAGGACTTCCAGAGACTATTGAGACTCCTGAGATCACCCGTTCAAGAAACAGCAGAGGGGCACATAAACTCAACAGTCCCTGTCAGATCGGTGCCCTGCTGAGAAACCATCAGTAGGAGACCAAAGGTCAACACTTAGTTACTAGACAGTAAAGAGAAGAGGGTCCAGAAATAAAGTATTGGAAAGGGAACATACAAAGAGAATGTTGATACATTTTGATAAATGTAACTAAAGTCACCACAGAAACTGCATGGAGATTGTCAAATGGGATGCTAACTTGCTGTGTAAACTTTCATCAAAAGCGCAATAAAACATCATTTAAAAAGTGCATATGTACTTTAATGGCCTGGCTTCAAATAGGAACACGGGAACTGCACGTGGAACATTTTCCGTTAAAATATTGGCCACGTGGTGGGGAGATGCGCATTAAACTGCCTTTGTAGACGAGTCTATGGTTATGGCTTTACTAAAGCTCATTAACAAGGAGCAAAATAGGATGCTCCATCTACCCGGTTTCCCCAAAAGTAAGACATCTCCCCAAAATATGACCTACTTACAGTTTTGCCTCTCGCTGAAACATAAGGCACCCCCTGAAAATAAGACCTCCCTGAAAATAAGGCCTCCCGAAGCTACCATAACTCTGGACTCTGGACCATAGCAGTGGTGCCGCCTCACCAGTGGTGCGGTCTTCACTGTAGACCGCAGTGAAGCTGGAGTAGACAGGAAGAGTGAGGTCTCTTTTAATAAAACAATAACAGTAAATGTGTACCATATTCCTCTTTATGGAAAAATAAGACATCCCCTGAAAATAAGACCTAGCACATCTTTGAGAGTAAAAATTAATATAAGACACTGTCTTATTTTCGGGGAAACAGGGTATGTTACCAAACAGAATATACAATGGCTTAGGAAGTTAGCTGGTCCTCAAAAGTGCAGACGGGGTCCCTTATTATGTAAGCAAAAACCCAGGCATGGCAGATCCAAGCTTTGCTAAGTAATTTGCCATTTCACACACATGCACACATACTCCATTAGGACCTGGTTTAGAATCTTGGGACGCACTGCTGTTTCAAAGCAGAGACTTTCTCTTCCCCTCACTTACCAGACGTGCTGCTGCCCCGGTCTGAACTGTTATACGAGCCGCCCGTGTTCTGGTCATACGACTGGTTGTATGGAATGGTTGCAGGCATGCTGTCATTTGCTTGGTAATCTAAATTTTAAATAGAAAGATACTTTTAAAATTATTACACCTTTGGAAGCGATTTCAGATCGGTTTGCCTTATCTATGTTTCTGAGTCATTGAGGAAGCTAGTATCATTGATCTGTTTTTTTTCTCTTTCATTTGTATATTCAGATATTATACAGCTCATATTTAAAATACATATAAATAATAGGTGTATAAGATAATAAAGTAGCTATGAACAGGGAGGGTTACCTTACTCACTTTTGTCTCTTCCTGTTAAAGAAAACCAGTGGAAAGCATCAGATTTTACTTCTCTGTTAGATGTACTTTAACTGAATATGCATATTCGCAGGATTTTCAATCTGTTTGGAAGGCAGCTGAGGGACTAATTCCCTCTTTACGATATTTTTAAATTACTGAAGGCAGAAACCAGGTTGTCTTGACTTAGACACATTAACAGTATAGGTATTAATGTAATAATTTTAAGAAGGCAGGTAATCGTCTGCCTACCCGTGGCAAATACTACATTAAATTTAAGCTAAAAATAAAGCCAGTCGGTATGATAGTGTCTTAAAAAATATGCACATGAAAAGAAAAAAAATAAATCACAATGTGCCACAAAAATGCTTCTGATGACATAGCCAGAGTTGAACACTTAAATGACAAACGTGACGCTGGAATGCACTGAATAACAGTCTGTCGGTCTAGTTGTGTTCCAGGGTGACGCCCTGTCTGCTGACAAACAGGGTGAAGATCTTGCAGTAAAGGATGGCCAAAGCTTTGGCGTCGATGCTAAAGTCACACTCTCTGGAGGAATAACACAGCCATAGTTTGAATCCATATTGTCAACTCTATGACTGATTGCAAGAGCAGACTCTGTCGTGAACTAACCCGCGTCTGTTAGATGAAGTTTAGAGAAGCAAAGGTTTTTTTCTTCCTAAAGCTTGAAGAGTCTTTCAAAGCTGATTAAGTCAAAATATATAACATTTAATTGAATGACTGTCTTCTCTTGTTGCTATCTTCAAGTACATAAACTTTGTATCTTTTTTTTTTTTTAGTTAAGAAAACCTCAAGTAAAGAACAAATAAATCTATGTATTTCATTCGCTACACTAAAATCTATCGTCTACCTGGACATTTTTATAAAATTGCTCTGACCTATTAAAATTAGAGCAATACTATTTCCTACAGGTATAACTTTGCAAATTATGTTATTAGAGCAGTAGCCTGGAGGTCTACAAAGATCTCAAATACCTATCTCTTCTAACTCACATACGTCACGTTAGGGAAGCATTCCCCTCAGGCCATAAAAGACGATTGCTGCTTCAAGCTAACACTAAACTCAATTCACTTTAGCTTCTATACTGACAGACTTCAATCGGGTCAACCAAAAATCAGGTTCTAAAATTGTAGCAGTTTTAGTAACCGCATGAGGTAGGAGAAATACAACTAATGGAATCACTTCTCCAGCGCAGGTTAATTTTTTTCTCAGTTTCATATAAAAGTCCCATATGACCATGTAGAAGCAATTATCTTCCATCTTGAGTGGAAAAATGGGAGAGTCTGTTTCTTTAAAATGCGAGGTACAGTTATGGTTGTACAACTGCTTTATAAATAACAGGTTGTCCTAACCAATCTATCACTTGGCATTAAACCTGAATTAATCTCAAAAGCAATGGGGAAAACTTACGGATTACAAAATCAATTTTCAAAGGTTATTGGGGGGCGAATGAACTCTTCGACACTGGAAATTATGAAACCAAATAAATCAAAAACCCTCGTAACAAAGACAAAATCTCAGCCCCTGACACAGCACACTTCCACATCTGGTACTGGAGGGCTGAGGGTCCCTAATGTAGAAAAGGGGGGAAATGAAAGAAACACTCTTCATTCACCTTTATTCAACTTGTTTTGCTCCATGATATTGTACTGAATTGGCGCCACGTCTTGTTTCTGCTGTCCCGCCGGCTTCCAGTGCTTCTCGCTCGAATCCCCGCTGCCATTGTTCATGTTATTACTGAGGTTGGACTGGATGAGCTGGGTGGTGGCGTAAGGAGTGGGCTGCCCTGATGGATTGACAAAACGCCCGTCCTTCAGATTTGGGCTATTGAAGGTTTTCATCTCATTGATTTTGTTACTAAGGTCCACATCACCATAAACAGCTGACTCAGGGAGCATCAGATTTGTCTGTTTGTTATCCAGTTGGTTGTTATAATTGGCTATACAATCAGCTACGTGCAACGGAGAGGAAAAGGGAAAAAGTCATTCCGTGTGGCTCATTTTCAATCGCTCGCTAAGTAGCTCTATGAGTCATAGCAAACTTGTTACATAAAGGGCACATTAGCCGAAGATTGTCTTGAAAGCATAAAAAGTGCAGGATTAAAACACACACACACATACACATTTTGAACTTCTGAGAGCACTATGTAATAAATCGTTCGTGAAATTTAATAGCGTCTTCTTTTTAATATGAATCCTACTAGAACATCGTCCACCTGAGTATCTTTGGATACTCAGTTTAAATTGTCTAACCTTGGAGTGCTGACCTAATTAGATATTAACTGAAGCTTTGGAAGCTACAGAGCTAAGGATAAGAATTGAAAATCATAGGAAAGAGGGTGTGGTGAAAGACGAGAACAACAACAAAGAAGTTTTACCTGGCTGCCAGGATAACATGAGATTTCTGTATTTTATAAAGGAGCTCACTCAAAAGATGAGGTGGAGAGGACAAGGTGCTTGGGAGAACTGTGTTAAGTTATTCTTTGGGTCATGTCTGGTAATCATTATTGAAGTAGCATGCTATCTAATCGTTTTTCACGGTTTCATGACAGTCCAAGAAGTGTAAAATGACAATAATGACAACAAAATGAATTATAGTAACCAGGGTAATTTGAATTATAAAAGCCTGAACTAATGTTACTATGTCTCATAATCTCATTCTCCCTATATTTCTTCCCCTTCACTGAACTCGTTAGGAGTTAAATCACTAATATTTATGGAGATGATGTCTACTGTTGAAAAAAAGAAAGTAGGAGCTTGAAGGCCTAAAATCATACACGATTTTTTTCATATTTCTTAATTGAAATATTTTTAAAAGAAAAAGCAGCCAAGTTCAGGCAATTCATCAGGGAGGGTCAACATTAAAAGTTTGGCTTTGCAAATTGGTTTCCAGCTGTATTTTTTTTTAAAAATGGTAAGTTAACACACTTGCCACCTAAGAAAAATTTGCACCTTCTAACACGCTTCCTCTCATGAGTCTCGTCAATCTTATCCCACAGAATTAATCTATTCTGTGTAAGGAAGTCTGATCCATCTTTCCATTAGCAATTGTTACGTCTTATTTCTAGGCATTAAGTTTTATTGAATAGTGGCGAACAAATATTAGTAAAGATAATATGATTTAGGCGCTCTCGCTTTGATTTTCCAATCTAGGTCACATATATCTTGGCGAGATGGTGGATGTCTGCTCCCATGTACTTCTTGACAGAGTAGCCACGTTGTCTGTGAAAACAGAGCCTTTGAAATGTGGCTAGTGGAACAGACAAGTGGAATTTTGGATTTTACCTACTTTAATTAATTGAATTGTAAATGGCACCATGTGAGGCCCACCATAGTAGACAATGCAGATCTCAAGATTGATTTAAGCAATAATCACCATTTTTTGCTCTTTTATAGGTCTCAATGTCTTTCTTTTAATTACAGTAACTTGTTGTCTGTCTGTCTGTCTGGACAACTAGATCATGGTCCTTTGCAGACACAGCTTGTTCATCTGCAGAATGGAGACATGAGAATTTTGAGGCTGGGTAGACAGGCTGCTTTATGCTTTGTTCTGTACCGTGTATAGCATCTTTTATTTACACGCAATCCCTCGTTCCTTTGCCTTGAGTTTTGGAGTCATATCTTTCGGTTATTGGCATTTTGTTCAGTAATATTTCTATATTGTGAATGTAAAAGAGACATACTTTTTACATGATTCCATTTTCTCCTATTTGTTATCTGTCCTAAATTTTCTGTTCTTTATTCATTATTCTATTACATATCACTGAACAAAACTCAATGTCGACTCATAGCGGCCCTACAGGGTTTCTGAGACTTTAAAACAATTACGGGAGGAGGAAGACCAGGCTCTCTCCCTATCACATATTAGTGACCTTTTTATTTGGGGGGAGAGGGTGTGGTGTGGGGAGTTTGCAGTGAAGTGAAAAATATTTGTGTCAGGCTACTGTCCTTATATTTCATTGAAATATTGATAAAATTTTCCTGCCAAAGGTGAATAAATTTCTCATTTCTGCTAAGCCTTCGTCTCTCGTTATCTCCCTAAATGTACAGATAGGAAGCAAGGCACAGTACAAAAGGCACAAAAACGTTATGGATAAAAATGAACACAAACTGGGAGCTTTCTCAGCACTCAAATATTCCCATGCCCCATCTTTAAAGGCTTTCTGCTCCTTGAGCATTCATTCATTCACTCATTCATTCACGGCCCTTTCTTTTTGTTAAATTGTACACCTACCATAGTTAGCACTCAAACAGTGCCCCCATTGTAAAAATTCGATTCTATTATGAATTAGGTAAAGGTTTCCAGAGCCTCCCATCACACCTCCACCCAACAAGTCTTACACAATGGGTTTCACCCCACGGGCTACACTCCCCTCAATATTATCGTGTAGTCTACTTCCTTCCTGTGAACTCTGTCCTTTCCTCCTCTTTTCGTAAGCTTCTGCACTGTGCTGTTGGATACCTGCCGCCCATTAGCATTCACATTTGTCACACGCTGACTTAGAGAGAGAGTTGGCTCATGCTCTATTCCTGCCCTTGTGTTTGGAGCAGGTTACGTGAGATCACATACCTGGCTGAGGCAGGATCCACGACTGTTTGCGGAATACAGACTATTGGCTTTTTAATCTTTCAGCTAATCAGAAATGCCTTTACCGAGTCAGTAACGTAAAGGCAGAACAAAGCCATTTGGTCATTAACGCTACAGTTTATATGAAAGATTGTGACATGCCTGCTTTCAACCTGTCAAAAAACATCTGGATTTTTATACAAGTTGACGCACGCATGCCCAGAGTCGGAAGAAGGAAGAGGACCTGTCTCTCCTTCTGGCTACTTCCTTATAAAGCTTAATGCATTTCAGACCCGCTCCGTGTCTCTAACCTGGGCGACTGTACGTTGTCAGGTTGCTATCGCTGTTCCCGTTGCCTGCTGTGCAGCAATTGATGGAGCAGTCATTGTGATTGTTGCCAGTATTGGGCCACGTGTCTGCCAGCCAGGGCTGGGCGGCAGGTTCACTGATGTTGAGAAGTCCTGGTCTAAAGAAAGCACAAGAGCACACAAAAATACAGCAGTTATAGCAACAGGGAATAACATGTCCCACGTGACGTTCTGGCAAATGCTTCATCGCGGCCTCACAGATAAGGCAAACTGATGACATTCCTTCCTCACTTCACAGACAGGGCAACTGTCACAGAATGTTCCCAGGGATGCGTCCACTGACAGCCTGATCGTTCTGTGTACTGGCTAGGCCCGTCCATTTTGTACTATTCTACCCCCTCTTCACTTGTGATCATTAAAAATGAAAACATGGAATCTAAGAATATGGATGCATGTGTTTCTAGAAAGCTCTTCGGACTGGAAAGCATATTCTGGTCAATTCATCATTTTTGACTCATTTTAAAAAATCATTTCATTGCAATGACACAGCCCACCTTTCAGTGGGAATAAGCTCCTTCACTTAGACAGTGGACGGCGGTAAGCACAAGCCGCAAACATTTACATACAGATTCTCCTGTTTTAGAACTAGTGCTCTGGGCTCTGTGGCATTTTGCAGGAGCCTCATCGATGTTTCCATGCAGAGCTCTGCAAGCCTGTCACCACTGTTTGATGGGGACAATGTAAAATGCCAGCCATCCCTACATCAGCAGAGGAGAGCTACCGTGTGAAAATGGCACAACAAAAACGTCCACTGCAGGAAATCTGAGTGTTCATGCGTTCACTGGTACAACAGATGTTCATCCTTGTCCACTGCGCAGGGGGAACACAAAGCGCATTGTCAGTTATTAATGGGAGCCCTGGACCACCCGTGCCAAAGACTCAAATTGGAATCCAACGCGGGCATCCTCGATGTCCTTCTCCAACATTAACTCCACCGGATAATTCAGCGAGAGGTGATCACACACGACGCGCCGTCGGGTCCATGGTCAGCAGACTGGTGCTAAGGATTCTGCAAAGATTTGCCTGTGGCTTTGCTTTCTTTGTTAAAGTGCAATTCCCAGGCTTCTCGTTTGCCCAGCAATCACGGCCCTGACATTTCACTCTCCACGGCTCATCCTCGGCCACACAGCGAGTCAACCGAGGGACCAGACGAAACACCACGATGATGATGATGTGAAGGGGATTTCACATGTGGACTCTGGATGCATAACTTATTTTTCTGTCCACAAAACCCTGGTGGTAGAGCTGCTTCAGTGGTGGGCAACTAACCGCAGGGTCAGCAGTTTGACTCCGCCAGTCGCTCCCTGGGAGAAATATGAAGCTTTCTGCTTCCAGAAAGATTTAGAGCTAAAGGGGCAGTTCTACTCTGTCCTGTGGCTGTAAGTTGTAACTGACTTAATGGTAGTGGGTTTGGCTGTTTTTATTTTTCCCCCCATCTATCCATATATACAGATGTGTTCTCTGTATGTGTGTGAGTCTGTGTATCAGTACTAAAACTAGATAATGTTTGCTTACAGATTATAAAGCATTGTTCTGATCTGTTTATACATACTGGCATATTCAGTCCTTAACAGTAGTAAATGAAGTCGATTTCAGGTCTCAGAGACACCGAGTTGATGCAGATGCATCGTGACCCTCTAGGACAGGACTGAGCGGCCCCTGTGGGTTTCCAAGGCTGTCACTCGATGGGAGTGGCCGGGGCTTTTGGAGGGCTGTCCTCGTGGCTAGCAATCACCACCACACCACTTACTCTTCGAGCTAATGACCCTGACAGTGAATAGCAGACCTGGGGCTCAACTCACTAGAATCCACATCCAACCCAGCGTGCTTTCAACACTTACAACCGAAGAAGGAAGAAAAACAAACCCAAATCTATGACTGCCAAGTCCATGCCCATTCGCAGCCGCACGACTGGCAAGGGTAGACCTGCCCACGGTTTCCAAGACCGACTCTCGCTACGGAAGCAGTTCGCTGCCTCGCTCTTCCAGAGCACTGCGTGGGTTCCAACTCTGGGTTGGCAGGTGAGTGTTTTAACCATTCCTTCACCAGGGCTCCTACATACAGCAGGGGGCACTGAATGCCCTGAGGTTCTCAAACTTCCTGAACAACAGGAAGGGAAAATGGACCGTCTGGAGCTTGCACATTTAGAATGAAGCTATTCAATGGGAGCAAACCTTCTATTTAAAATGCTGATAGATACCTAGATGCTTTGAAGAGCAATGCTGATGTTGAAAATTAAAAACATTTACATGTAAGTTAGCTCCTGGTGGAGCCGCTCAGGGGTGCAAAGGGTTCGTGTGCTCTGCTGCTGATCCAAAGGTGCGGTGTTCTAGTCCACTCCAAAGCTTCTTGGAGGCAAGACCTGGTCATCTCCTGAAAATCCAGCCACTGGAAGTATTATGGGGTACCATTTTATGGGTGGGACTACCTTAAGAAGGAAGCAACTTGATATGTCACGGTTACCTGGAGTTTTGACCTACGTTTGTAATAAGAATCCTGCATCTAACCATTGGTACCTTTCCTATTTTATTTTATCTTCAACTTACACTCTGAGTGCTACCATTGTAGAAGTTGTTAAGTGTTGTAAAGGTGTTATAGGCTGGTAGGAGTGTGGGTCAAGTGGAAAGTCATCAGTCTGTTACATGGTTCAAAAGAAATAGACAATGTTCTGCTGCTACTAAGGATAACGTGGAGTGGGCACGGGGGTGGGGGGAAGTGTTAAAGTGAATGTTGTGATAGCCTCCTATCAGAAAGTTTTCATATATGTGGGTGATTTCCAACAGGATGTCAGATTGGCTCCTCATGAATCTGAGCCTGCGATGTGTGAATTTCAAAGGTCTTTTGGGAAGCCAAGGGCAGATGCAGCTACTCCGATAAGGGCTTTAAGGTCTGTAAGCGTTATGTATTTGTCAAGTGTGTGTGAGAGAGATTTAGCTGTCAACAGTATGACGTGAAGAGCTGCAGACACAATGCTGGATACCCTGATTACCATGTTCTAAAACAGTCTCAGGGAATATTTTCTCATGTAATATTTAAGCGGTTATATTTTCACGTTGATATGTCTGAGTTGTGCTAAGTCGTTTCCTCGTCATTTGAAAAGACAATACCATAGAAGAAAGTGAAAACACTGGAGCTCATGGAAAAAAATGTTTTTTTCTCATTTTACTATGGGGTCATATTCCTACCATGGAGGGGGGGGAGGGCAAATACACTTTCATAACTGCTTGGCAATCACCTCCCATCTTCCCTCTCTTCCCACTTCAGAAGTTCCAAGCCTTCCCTCCCAGAAAACAAAACTATTTGAATCCTTAAACCACAGAAGAAATCCCCCTGTTGCTGGGGGATTCAGTCAGGGACCTTGTCACCAAGGGCTGCCTTCCACTGGTCTCTTCCCAGGAGGGCTGGAGGGATCATCCTGAGGTTGTCAGGCTTCTGAAGCTAAGGGAACTGGGCTCAGCTTCCTTCTCTCCTCGCACCGGCAGGAAATGCCATTTCCGGGGGGCCATTCCTCACTGCTCAGCCTGGTTTCCCCCCGCCCCCTTCTCTGGCTCCCTCTGTGGCAGATCAGTTGTAAGTGGGTTGTTATTTTATTGATCTGTTTGTCTTTTGATGATGTGACTCGGGGTGTGGGGAAAAAACCCCATAGGAACAGCCCGTCAAGACTGCCCCCATCCTCTTTGGGGTCACTTTAGAACTCCTGGGCCACTTTCAAGTTGGGAAGAGTTTTCTTTGTTTGTCCCAGTGCTCCTTCCTGTCCACTTTCCTGGAAAGAGCTCCATTGCCAATGTGGAGAACCAGGAGAGACTTCTAGCTCAACTGTCTCCTTTGTGGGGTGGGTAAGTGGGGGGTGGGGTGGGTCAGCCCTATGTATTTTCTTACAAGTGAGGGTCAGAACTGAGGTCTTCTCCCATTCATTTTCTCATGAACAACTCCCTCCTCTCTACATTTACCAGTGATGTGTTTCGAACGTCAGCAGTTCCTGTCTCTGCACTTCAGGATCGCACCGTTGATTGCGAGTGGCAGTCGTACACAGAAAGGGCTGGCAAACTTGTGCCTACCCACGGCCAGGCAGTAACTAAATGAGGATCTGCAGGCCTCGCAGTCTCTGCAGCCAACACTCAACTCTGCCACCCCAGCAGGCCAACCACGCATGCAGCGTCATTCTTAGAAATTTTTATTTATCAAAATAGTCAGGCCACCGTTTGCTGACTCTCACATAAGAGGAAGATAATCCGTCACTGAAGGGTGAGGGGCTTCACAGTGGTACTGTCACAGGGCACAAAGTGCCTGGAGGGAGAACCAACAGGTGGTGGCAGGGCGGTGAGGGCTTTCCGGGCTGAAGTAAGGAGCGAAGGAGTGAAGGCCGGCACAAGAGAATGAGGTGCAGGTGCCTGGGATCTAAGGTGTGCTGCAGACGGGAGGAAAGGGGGGTCTGGAGAGGCCTAGAGGTTGTGGGTTTCATCTGTTATCCCAAGCAGCTCAGACTTAATCCCATAACACGGTTGCCCCTGTTAAAATGGGACTTTCAGCAGCTAAGAGTCATAATCAATAAACATTTAGAAAGAGCAGTCTGAGATAGGAACTGAAAATACAGGGAATCCAGGATGGATGAGCCCTATAGGACCAGTGGTGTGAGTGGCAAAACAGGGAGGGTAAAGGGAGAATGGGTAGGAAAGAGGGAACCGATTACATGGAACTGTGTGTGACCTCCTCCCTGGGGGACAGACAACCGAAAAGTGGATGAAGCGAGACGTCGGACAGGGCAAGATATGACAAAATACCCATTTATAAACTATCAAGGGCTGATGGGGGAGGGGGGAGCGGGGAGGGAGGGGAAAAATGAGGACATAATGCCGGGGGTTTAAATGGAGAGAAAATGTTTTGAGAAATGATGTACAAATACGCTTTACACAATTGATGTGTGTATGGATTGGGATAACAGTTGTATGAGCCCCTAATAAAATGTTTAAAAAAAAAAAAAAAGAAAGAGCAGTCTGGCTCCAGTGGGCAAAAGGGAATTGCAGGAAGGGGTGCTATCCTTTGAAGACGTGGAGCTTGTAGCAGGCTAGGCACGGAAAACCAAGGCCTTGACTTTAAAGAACGTTATTATGAATGATGACGCTAGTTCAAGGAAGACTCAACAAAACGTAGTCATGGCTGGAACAGATGCAGTGGGATGACTTGAAGGTTCGGGCTCAAATCATCACTCACCAGGGCCGCTGGAGAGGCACCCCGAGAGTGAGGTCGATGTGGGAGGGAAATCAAGGTTCAGGGATGGACAAGGGAGAAGTCTGCACAGGAATCAGGCTTACTGTTCATTCTCTGAGCCTCAGGGACCACATAACACAGACACACATGCTGACGAATGTTCACACATTCACGTGTACCTAGGATGTTCTGTGCTGTGGTCATTTTGTTTTTTAATTGTTCATAACATTCAGCACCTGCTGAGATCATTCACTTTAAAAACATGCTTATTTATTTTCTGCCCGCCCCCCTGCCCCCCATAACCTAAGGCTCCTGGGGACAGGGATTCTAAACTGTTTTCGGAGGACCCCAGGCACCTAGAAAGTGGCCTGCTGCCTTGTAGGCGCTCGATACATATATGTAGTAGATAAATACACTTAAAATTGTGCACATCAGTCATTTTGAGCCCAGACACAAGAGTTTTACTTCTCTGGCATACCAGCATTATTTATTATTTCATTTGAGAGAGCAGTGATTTCTATTTGGTATTTGAAGTAAGTTGGTCTTACTTCTGGCATGCTATTTGTAAGCGCACTCGGTGATGTCTTTGCGGTGATGGAGAGAGCTTTTCGAGTGGATAGTTTGGGGACTCTGCCATTTGCTACCTGCGCATTTCTGCTCATTTCCCATGTGAAAATTTGGCCTCTCAATCTGACCTGTAAATTTCCCCAGAGCACAGACCAGTCCTGCATTTGGGCACAAAGGCAGATGCAGAAACGCCCATTTTAACAACGCCAGATAAACGCCCTCCTTGTCTTCCCTAATGAGGAAGCTGGAGTCCACAGTCATGGCCAGACGCCTGTAAAGAGGTGGTTTGTAATCAGATGTTCCCGCTTCCCCCAGGAGAGAACGTCCTCACGTTGGGGCTGTGACGTCGATGGAATTCCCATAGATGCGGAAACACGCCCTGGTTTAATTCTCTTCTTGAGAAGACCTCCCTAGCTCTAGGTTCTTCCTGTGGCTGGCTGTGCTTCACCAGCCTGAGAACCCGACGCGAGCACTCGACGGGAAAGACAGGAGCGGGTGGTGAGCAGTGAGCATGCGCGATCAGGATGCTGTGCACACAGCGTAACCCGAGCGCGATCAGGGTGCTGTGCACACAGCGTACCCCGTGTGCGATCAGGATGCTGTGCACACAGCGTACCCCAAGCGCGATCAGGATGCTGTGCACACAGCGTAACCCGAGCGCGATCAGGGTGCTGTGCACACAGCGTACCCCAAGCGCGATCAGGATGCTGTGCACACAGCGTACCCCAAGCGCGATCAGGCGGCTGTGCACACAGCGTAACCCGAGCGCGATCAGG